CAACTCATTCTTACCACTTAATAAAAAGGACTTGGGGACCACCTCTCCCCATGTTCTCTTAGGAAACTAGTTCAAATCTTCCTCCCCCGTCGTGACTCCCTACAAATGGAATCTGCCTGGGAGTGGAAGGCTTTCCTGGAAGTTTCTGAATCTCTTCGGCATGGCTTTCAAAAGAACTACTCTAACTGTTCTGAGGCTCTAGCTTCGAGGGGTGAGGCAGGCTCCAGCTGCAGCCCGGGGGTCCTGGAGTCTGTTGGGGGTGGAAAGGAGAAGGCTACGAACAGCTGCTCCTCCCTCCTCACTGGGCCTGCAGAGCTGGGATCGGAAAGGTACCACACGGCGCTTTAAAGTAGTTCTACACTTTGGAATAGAAGACGGATTTTGCTGAGGTTTGTGTAAAATGAGCTGCTTAGCAAATCACTGCCATCTAATTATAAAATCATGTTTTTTCTCTCTCTTTTCTAAATATATAGGTCTACCATTTAAACGGTGTTCGCTTTGGGCAGGTGTGACAACACCGCTCTGCAGCCTGGCCTGAATATGCAGTGGTCCAGGCAGGTGCTTCTGAGAGCAGATCAACTTTTTGGAATAGGGTTAAATCCAAAAGCGCCCACTCACCCCCCGCCCCCTGCTCCCCGGTGGTTTCTCCCCAGCTATGGGCAACCTCGGGGGAGGCCCAGGCGGCACCTGAATTAGTGGGGGACAGGAAGCTGAAAGAGCCCGTACACGGAAATTCAGGAGCCAGGTTCCAAAGCCCGCCTGAGGCCGAGGACAGGCCCAAACCAGCCAGGCCTAATGACCAGGGATAGGGCTGAAGTCCTGACCTACCTGCGCAATGGATTGAGTGTAGACTAAATTGCTGCATCTGTCCATTTCGGGTATGGGCACGTGGTGTTTGTTATACGATCCTTTATATTTTCATTTTTTTTATTTTTCAAAATTAAAAAATAGACCAAGTGCCCAAAAGATTTAGGGGTTGGCAGTTGACTGTAAGATTAACAGTAGTCAGGGAAAACCACCGCCAGCCAGGCGCTCCGCCTCTCTTCACCAACCAGCTGCCTCATCACACCCTCCAGCAAAGGCTGCTCTGTCCCCCCTCCTCATGAGGGCTTTGCTCCCCGGCAGCACCGGTCATGTGTGGTCAGACTGCTGAGGGGCAGGCCCCATGAGCACCAGGAAACAAGAGATGTGTCGTTTTTGGTCATCCAGTTCTGTAAGTGGCACAGTGTAACAGAAGGAGCATGTGCTTGGGGACCAGATGGACCTTGGTCAGACTCCGGAGCTCTGCTTTTCTCAGGCTTTGACTGGACGTGGCCTGTTCAACCTCCTGAGCCTTAGTTTCCACATACATAAAAGGCTAATGGCAATTGCTGTGAGGCCTAGATGTGGCTAATATGGTGACTAACCTAGGGCCAGCCCACAAGTCTTTGTTGAAGGGAGGGAGAGAAGGACGAGGGGGAAAGTGGGGGGAGGGGAGGGAGTGAGAAGTACGGGAGGGAAGGAGGAAAGGAAGACAGACAGAGACTGTCTTTAAACCATGCCATTTGAGAAGCCGCTGAAAAAAGTGGAGCTGGTGCTGGAGAAAAGCATGACTGTCAGAGATTCATGTGGGACACATCCAGTGGGGGCAGCTTAAGGGGAGAAAGGAAAGAAGTTTGTAAGGACGAGAGAATCCCCAAATGGAAAAGTGGACAGATTTGGGGGCAGCAAGCTTCCTATCTCTAGAAGGGTCCAGCTGAAGCCAAGGGAGTAAGGGAGGGACTGTAAGGGAGAGACTCCCTTGAAAGTTTCCCAGCCTTTATTCAAGGGGTCACTTTCCTGTTTGGGCCGTATTTGTTTACTACTGAACTATTACTGGCTTAATCTTTACCTTAAAATCATTATACTTTGGGGCGCCTGGGTGGCTCAGTCAGTTAAGCGTCTGCCTTTGGCTCAGGTCATGATCCCAGGATCCTGGGATTGAGTCCCGCATTGGGCTTCTTACTCAGCAGGGAGCCTGCTTGTGCTCTCTCTTGCTCTCTCTCTCTCTCTGTGTCAAATAAATAAGTAAAATCTTAAAAAAAAATCACCATACTTTTCATTTACTTTTATTTTTTTTAAGTTTATTTTTTTAGTAATCTCTATACGCAACATGGGGCTTGAACTCACAACCCTAAGATCAAGAGTCACATGCTCTTCCGACTGAGCCAGCCAGGTGCTCCCACCATATTTTGTAACTTAAAATCTTTCTCTAGCCTTAATTTGAACAAAATATCCATTTTTTAAAAATGGGTTTGATGTGATGCCTGTATTTTTATAATACACATAAATAGGTGTATTAAAATGAAATGATGCTGAATGTGCCCCACCTAAAATTATCTCCCTGACCGCTCTGAGAAATGTGCTCTACAGGATCTGAATCTAGACTAACTACGCTCCAGGGGCCCCTTCTGGATCTATGATTCTGTTATCTGAGGTTGCTTGAATATTGATGATGCTCTTAATCCTTATGGCCCTTTCTGGTTTCCCAAGCATGTTCTCTTCTGTGTCTTTCATCTAATCCCATGACAACCCTGAGGGCAGGCAGATAAGTCACAGATGGCGCCTGGGTCCCTGTAGCATGGGATGTGCCCAAGGCCCTCTAGATAGTCACAGAAGACCAGAACCAGGGCGCAGAGCCCCCACCTCTCCATCCTCTCCTCATGCTACCACCACACCGCTGCACAGCCAAACTCAAATCCATCCTTGGTGCTCTCCCAAATCTCATTAGCACCACAACCCAGATGTAAATCATGGTGTTTTATCCATCTAGGTAGCCAGATGCCAAGCTCTAGAGATGAAAATATGCCCTCTGAGACCCACAATAACACTTCAGCAACCAGCAATGACCTACATTGTCATTTGGCCTTCTGGCCATCAGCAGGCCCCACCTAGAAAAGCTACCCCAAAATACCAAAGGTCAATGAGAGGGACATTAAGAAGTTAAATACACACTGCTACTTCATGAACCCTCCAAGAGGGATGGCTGCAGAAAGCTGCCTTGGATGGTGCCAACCCAGCGCTCAGTGGTGGGGGCCCGGGGGTGGAGTCTCTGGGAGCAGGCGATGCCAATCTCATCACGTGCAACAGAAACACCACCCAGAAGACGGCAGATGAGCACCGAAGTATGCACAGCAGGCGCCGAGGGGGGCAACACAGCGGTCCCCTCCCCTCAGCTCAGCTCTGTTGTCTGAAGTCGGCACCAACAACTGGCCTGCTCATTTTCACTCTTAACACCTGACTCTACCATCCCAGGCCGATAGCCTAGCTGTGAGGGCAGAGCCGCAGAGCCTAGAGTGGGTCCTCAGGAACCACTAGTGACACAACGTGGCTTAGACCAGGGCATCTAACCTGGAATCTAGGGCTTGTTTTCAGAGATCCGTGAATCCCCTGAATTGTATGCCCACTCTGTACATCCAGGCAACTCTTCTCTGGGCTTCTCACTGGCATACTGAAGAGGCTGTGACCCAATAAGGTAAAACCATTGCTCTGGTCACCAGACCCTCAGCCTTCCTGGCTGCCTTTCCCATGCAAGAGCTTGCTGGAAGTGGCACTAATATCCAGTGTCTTTGTACAGCAACTTCACAGCTTCGGCATCCTTGGAAGATCTAAACTCTGCTTAACCTACTATTCCTTGGGTTTTGTTATTTGCAGCCAAAAGCAGCCCCACCGATCCAGTACCATAAGGCCTAGTGGTAACACCAAGACGATGAAGGTTGGCAAGGCCTCCGAGTCCACCAACAAAATTCCTCTCAGACCCTGAATTTTCTGCATAGTCCCTAGACAATGGATACTTGCCAGATGCCCCAGGGCACAGGGTGCTCTCCCAGCTCCTTCCTCTGTCCCATCCCCACACAAGGGTAACTGCACCTCTTCCGTGCCTTGAGCCTGACAGGTACAGAACCTCTGCGACTCCGTGCACACCCTGATGCTTGAGAATATTCCAGCTTTGCACATTTAGGTCACATAAGTGTGGTTTGTACAAACTATATAGAGTGCATGAGCAGTACGTTTTCAATCACTTGCAGGGAGGAACACTCTGTGTGGGGGCATTTCACTGGTAGAACTGATTACACCAGGTGTGAGATATAAAGCAGAGGTCATGTTCCCTGAGAACTCACTTGATCCAGCGGGCTGGTCACCACGCAAATCTGACTTGATGTGAGGACCAGTCACCCCAGGAGCTAGCTCAGTTCATCCGAGTTTGGTAGTCCTCCCTGGTTCCAGGTAATCACTCAAACTCAGAACCAACCCCAGAGATCTGTCACTTTATAAGCAGCTCAGATCCACTCAAACTGTGAAATACCTATGGTTAGAGCTAATAAAAGTTATACCCGCCACAAAAATGTCTTCTGTAGGTGAAAGTATGAGTAGCAGAAAGTGCAAACTGCCTTTTGCGAGAGCAAAGCAGGCAAACCCCAGCCTCACTGGGGTTCAGCAGGGGGCTCTGATCCTCTTCTCCATAAAGAAATGTTGAGGCCAGGGGTCGGGGGTGGGGGCAGTTTCTACCAGAGCACCTGGCTTACTCAACACCACCCGCCTCCGCAAGAGGCTGGCAGACCCTGCAGCCTTGAAAACCCCAGATCATCAAAGCCCAATACCTCCTGACCTGGCAGAGAAAGTACAAACTACACCATAAACCGCAGACAGAGAAACTCACTGGCTGCTGAGAGTGAGAACAGACCCAAGGTTGAAAGCCAGGGCCCGAAACATTTTCAGCCCCAGTCAGCAGGGACTTGCAATTTACAGGAAATTAGGAGATTTATAAAATGTTAGGCAGCTCAAGTTTCTTCCCTGGGAAGAGAAGCAGAAGAAACTCTAAGAACTGTCTCCGTGAAGTGCTTTGTTCACTGCAAAGCCCCTGACACGTGTCAGTTATTAATACCAAGAGGTCACCACCCCACACTTCAACCAACCCGTGCTTGTCAACAGAGCAAAAGCTTAGGACAGGCTGCACCTGGAACCCTCAAGCCTGGACAGCCCGACTCTAAGGTGAGGGGCCTGAAGAGCCACGTGGTCTCAAGGTAGGATCTTGGGCAAGTTACTGATACTTTCTAGCCACAGCTTCCCATCTGCATGTGGGGATTACAATAAACTTCTGGGAGAGTCTCGTCAAGTGACCAGCAAGAACAAGCACACTCTGGTCAAGTGCCGGTCTGTGTGAGCCCTGCTGGTGCAGCTATTACAGTGGGGCTTCAGGGTTTTTTTTTTTTTTAAGATTTTATTTATTTATTTGAGAGAGAGAATGAGAGAGAGCACATGAGAGGGGGGAGGGTCAGAGGGAGAAGCAGACTCCCTGCCGAGCAGGGAGCTCGATGCCGGACTCGATCCAGGGACTCCAGGATCATGACCTGAGCCGAAGGCAGTCGCTTAACCAACTGAGCCACCCAGGCACCCGGGGCTTCAGGGTTTTTAAGTAAGATCTCCCTTATTACTCTTTTGAGGCTAGAATTCTGAGCCTTGTCAGTCATTCTCTCTGATCAGGTCCAGGATAGAGTGTGTGTCTTGTAGATGCAAGAACCATTTAACTCAAGGAGGTTCGGTACCAGCAGGGGCCCGTGGGGGTGGTGGGGGTGGTAGGGGAATCCCAGAGCTCTGAGATCAGGGCCCCATGAAGTGGCCCTTGTCCATCTCTCCAGACTCAGCTTTCTCCAAGGCCAGCACAGATCTCAGTTCCAGCCACAGAGTGTAATTGGGTGTTGAGCGCCCACGCTCCTGCCAGGCATCACCTCCTCTAGGAGGCCTTCCCTGACCTTCCACGCTGTCTGTCCCACAACCTCTTCTCTTCCCTGATCCTGTTGTTGACCACACTGCGCTGTCGCTCATTTTTTTGTCCTTACCTTCCCCGCAGAGCAGGAACGGGCACCGTGCCCCACTCAGTTGCCCCAGCCAGGTCCGGTCAATGAATGAGCCGGGCCCCAGTGGTGAGCAGAACCCCAAGCCCCGGGCGCAGTGAAGGGTTGTTTGTGCGGCAGGCTGCTTTTTATTATTGAGATAAATTTGACAACACCCGCGGCGGATCCCTGCCCACGTTAACGCCATTTTAAAACGGGAGAAAGAGTACCCCCCCCCCCCCCCCGCCACTCCAGTCCTGCCGCCCACCCCCCTGCTGGTCCTCGCCGAGGCAGACAAGAAACCGAAGGGCGGTTCCATGAAAGGGGCTCTTTGGGCGGTGGACAGGCCCTCCCCGCTTGGGGTCTCTATTGTGGCGGATTTCTCGATCGCACAACGTTACGCCGGAGCCTGCAATGGGGGGCAAAAGGCCGCTCCCCGCCAGTCCCCGGGCGCACTCCGCGCGCCGCGAGTGCGGCAGGGCCCGGGGGCGGCCACACCTCCCGCCCGAACAAAGCGCCGGGCGGGACCCTCCTCCCCTCCCGGGCGGCTGCGACCACTCACCCCGCGCTCCAGCCCCGGCTCGGCTCCGGCCCTCAGGCCGCCTCCTTCACGCTCGCGCGGCCGAGGAGGCAGCGCCGCGCCCGGCCGGCCCCGCTGCAGCCGGACTGGCGGCTCCCGGCCCGCCGGCCCTCTGGCCGCTCCGACCCGTCCCCGCCCCGGCGCCTCCTTAAAGCGACCGCGCAGCCCGCGCGCGCCCCGAGCGCCGCGCGCGCCGCGCATTCCTTATATTGCAACAGCGCCTGCTAAAAATAGAGCGCCGCGGCGGGCGCCGGCGGTGGGGGTGGGGGGGCGGCGCCGCGACCCCGCCGCCCCCGCGCGCCCCCGGGCCCCGGGACGCGCGGCCCGCTCAGTCCTGGCCACCCGCGCTGATTCCCCTGCCGCCCAGCGCCCCCGCCCCCGGCTCCGAGCCGGGCCCCAGCCGCCTCCCCCGCGACCCCGCGCACTTACCGGGTCAGAGCCTAGCTCCGCGGCGCTGGCTTTAAAGTGGACGCCGAATGGGAAATCGCTCGGGCCTCTTTAAGAGCCTCTGTGCCCCAACCTTGGAGTCTCCGCTCTGGCCCGACCAACTTCTGAGCCTCCCGACGCCTCCCCAGTCCTTAGCGATGCCGGCCGTCACCTCAACCGCATTCGTTTCGAATCCCGGGACGTGTTTCTTCCTAGATCCTGACCCAGCGTGTCTTACCCCCAGGCCTTCTTGGTGCACCATTCCTGCGCCCCAAGTTCGTTCAGATGGATAGGACGGGCACAGGCGACACTCGTGCTCCATGTCATTGTTTCAGTTCTGCTAACTCCTCTCCATCGATGACATTTTTTCCTTATTTTAAGAAAATGGAAATATAATTCACATACCATAAAACAAGCCTTTAAAACTGTACGATTACGTGGTTTTTAGTATATCAGCAAAGTTGCTGGACCATCACGATTTTTAATTCCAGAACATTTTCATGCTGCCCCCTCCAAAATACCTTACCCATTTGCGGTCACCCCCCCCCCCCCCCCCCCCGGTCGCTGGAAACCACTCATCTACTTTGTCTCCATGGATTTGCCTACTCAGGACATTTCATATAGATGGAATCCTACCACATGTGGTGTTTTGTGACCAGCTTCTTTCACTTAGCATTATGTTTTCAGCGTTCATCCATGTTGCAGCATGAAGCAGCACCTCATTCCTTTTTATGACCAAATAATATTCCAATGTATATATACACCGCATTTTGTTTCTCCATTTCAGGTGATGGGCAGTTAGGTTGTTTGTATTTTGGGGCTGTTAGGAATAACAGCTCCTGTGATCATTCGTGTACAATCTTTATAGGAACATGTGTTTTCACTTTTCTTGGTGGTATGCCTAGGAGTAGAACTAGAGTAGAACTGAAGTAGAAATAGAACTGTGGGTCATATGCTTAGCTATGTTTAACATTTTGAGGAACCCCCGACTGCTTTCCAGAGCACCTGCACCACATTCCTACCAAGGATGTGCGAGAGGACCGATGGCTCCGCATCCTTGCCAATGCTGTCTTTTTGATTATAGCCACCCTACTGGGAGTGAAGTGATAGCTCATTGTAATTTTGATAACTGGTGTCATTTTTCAGGACTTTCTTGTGGGTGGACCTTGATGATGACTTGGAACCGTTTTACACATCCAGGGAACTCATCCCCTTGTCATTTTTAAAAAAGATTTTATTTATTTATTAGAGAGAGAGAGAGCACAAGCTGGGTGAGTGCAGAGAGAGAAGCAGACTCCCCGCGGAGCAGGGAGCCCCTGTGGGACTCGATCCCAGGACTCTGAGATCCTGACCCTAGCCGAAGGCAGACACTCAACTGACTGAGCCACTCAGGCGCCCCTCACCTGCTTGTCATTTTGAGAGCTTCACCTTCTACCCCAAGCCCAGGGGGAGCTTACTACCGAGTCCTTCCTGCCTCCTGCCGTGCTGGGGCTTCCAATCCGATGCAGGTTTTGATTGGCCTCCCAGGTACCCATGCAGCCATTTGGTGAGAGCCGTTGTGTCCCCCCACTTCCACTTGCTGCTCTGACGTCCCCGTGGACCCCAAGAGTCCCCATGCTTTAGGTGCTATCAAGTATCGCACCTTGGTAGGGAGTAAAAGAGCTGGCTGAGGAGGGGGCTTGAGGGAGAGATGCTCATCGTGACCGGCTGGGTCTTGCTCTGAACCTGCTTCTTCCTCTTCCTTCCATTTACCACAAGCCTTGGGGGGAGACTGGCAGAGGTCTGTGTGTCCTGGTTGTCTGTCAGCCCCTCCTGGGCTCCGTCTGTCAAGAAACATCCTCTCCCGGGCCCTGCCTGGCACAGGGCTCTGTTGCCCTCAGCTTGAGCTGAGACAGTGCCTGAGACTGCAGGGTCCTGGGATCGAGCCCCGCATCGGGCTCCCTGCTCGGCGGGGAGCCTGCTTCTCCCTCTCCCACTCCCCCTGCTTGTGTTCCCTCTCTCGCTGTGTCTCTCTCTCTCTCTCTGTCAAATAAATAAATAAAATCTTTTAAAAAAATAAATAAAAAAAATAAAAATCCATCTCCTCAGAAATGGAACTGAAACAGCTAGTAATCACACACAGGTACCTGGGATTCTCTAATGCAGGTTGTGGCTGAGGGCTTACAACAGGGCCCTTGTCCCATTTGGGCTGCCTCCTCTGCTGTTTGAACCCTGAAATAAAGTATGGCTCAGTTGCTGGCAGACAGGGGCACTGAGCAGGACAATGAGGCCTGAGTTTGACAGTTCCGTCAGTAAACACTGCCATAGCACCTACTGTGTGCCGGGTGCTGTGCAGAGGCCTGCCGCCAGCAAACTGTGAGTGCCAGCCGAGGGTAAATGGTGTGGAAGAGAGACGTCCCGGGGCCTGTGGGGGCCCAGAGGAAGGGCACCCAACCCAGAGTGGGGAGGGTGTGGGTGCCCAGCACAGGCTTTCTGTGAGAGGTGATGGTTGAGCCAGGGCTTGAGGGACAAATAACGCTCAGCTAGACTGAGAAAGGAGAAACCCTTATATGCTGAGGTATGACTGAGCTGAAGTCTTGCAAAACTCCCGCAGATCCGCGTGGCTGACCAGGTGTGTTTGCAGCATGGTAGAAGGCCAGACTCCTGGCCCAAATGACTCCTGGCCGAAAACCCAGACTGGGCTCAGGCCCAAGTTTCAGGGCCTGAAGTCCAAGGCCAGCCACAGGGCCAGGAGCCAGCTCTTGCAATAGGGCAAAGACGAGAGTTGCTTGCCTGACCCAGAGCAGAACTTTCCGGCTCAGAGACACAAGCAAATGTACCACATCCACTGCAGTGTCTTGGGCTGGTCTCTCTGCCCCAACGCTTGCTGAGTGCCATGCCTCAGAGCAGACCCAAACTGGTGCCTGGGGGTTCAGTGCACAAGCCTAGAGGGCCTGGGGATTTCAAGGGCCAGGAGCCAGCCTGGTCATTGCGGCACAATGTTCTTCCAGAACTCTCTGCCCCACTGTGGTCTCTGGGGGCAAAAGCAGCTCTGAACTCCTGAGCACTCACTGCGTGCTGGACATGGGCATAATGATGAGTCTGCACATCTCCCAACGACCTGTGCTGGTCTTACCTACCGTGTCTTAGATATAAGGAGACACAAGCCCAATCCCATCCAGCCAGTAGACTCAGAGTCAGGGTTCTGACCACAGAGCCCATATTCTTTCTCCTATGTCTGGTGGCCTCGACAGGCAGGTCAATTGTGTTTGTGTTTGGTGTTAGGAAAGCAGGGAGAAGGTGAAGTGGATACTAGTCTCCTCAGGCTTGTGGCTAGACTTAGATCTTTTGCTGACCCCAAAGCACCAACCATGGGTTAGCAGAAGAGCCTCACCCCACCCCCATGCCTGTTTATCCCCTCAGCTGACTTTTCTTCTGGGCCAAGCACAGGCTTTTGTTCCCTGGGCTGCCCATGATATGGCACCAAGAATGACACGGTCTTCTCTCAGGGTTCTCATGGCTCGTACCAATCCAAATTCGGTCATCTCTCATCTTCAATTCTCCCTGCTACCCCCTCTGCACATCCCCAACTGCCCAGCCCCCTGAGGAGATAGACCTCATAGGATTTTCTTCTCTGATGCTTATGGTTCCTGATGCTTGTGGTTTATCCCTCTCATGGACTCCCTCTTGCTCACTGGGGCCAGAAGAGAATCAGTCCATTTCCCAGGCATGGCCACACTTCTCCAAAAAGGTGTCCATACTCAATTAATACATTTGTTTCTGATCATTTGTTTTTCTCCCCCTTAGCTCTTCCTCTGTTTAAACTAAAGTCCAGTGGCTTTTAAACATTTTTGGCTGCAACCCATAGAAACAAATAGGTTTTACACTGGAAACCAAACACATACACACACAAGTGAAACAAAAATTTAATGAAACAATACTTATCTTTACTATATGTGATATATTCTATTCTATTCTGTTTCATTTAAAAATGCTATCAAGACCTATTAAATTGATTTCATGCCCCATTAATGGGTTGTGACCTACAGTTTGAAGAACATTGAGCCCAGATATTTTGACATTCAGAGCCTCCAGTTAGGGATATTACAGCACAAATTTGTCAAGAAAGAAAAGTCAACTCTAAGATTTTGAAATACATGCTACAGACAGAAGTTCAAAAAGAAAAAAATTTTGAATCTCAAAAGCCTAGATTTCTGGGGCACCTGGGTGGCTCAGTCAGTGAAGCATCTGCCTTCAGCTCAGGTCATGATCCTGGGGTCCTGGGATCAAGTCCTACATCGGGCTCCCTGCTCAGCAAGGAGTCTGCTTCTCCTTCTCCCCACCCACCCTCCCCTGCTCATGCTCTCTCTCGCTATCTCTCTCTCTCTCTCAAATAAATAAATAAAATCTTTAGAAAAAAAAAAAAAAGCCTAGATCTCCTCTTCTAGGCAGGATGTAGTAGGTTGTGGCAGGCCAATGGTCCTACCGCAACAAGATGAGATGAGTCTCTCCAGCTGGCCCCTCACTCATCTCCCTGGACATTTGCCAATTTGGGGCATTCCTAACAATCAAGCTTTGCCCAAAAGAAAGATCTCTAATGGAGGAAAGGAAACCAGTAAAGCTATTAGTGGCTACATGGTACTAGAATGAAAAATGGGAACATGGAGGCTTTAAAAACGCAACCCCATTTTCTCCACAGGACATTTGCTGAGTTCCCCATCTAAAAAGCAGAGTGAAATCTTCCACAGTCTTACAGAACTTAGAAAACAAAGTCTCACCAAGAAGAAAGGGCCTGCCTCAAACACAAGGCCAGCTCCTACCTTGTGACATTTGCCAGATTTTGAATCTACAAGGGGACAGAATCTAGACAGTTGGATTAGGAACCTCTGAAGGGCACAACTGAATCTCCACCGTCCATGGCTGAGGGTACAGAGACCTGCAAGTCTCTCAATCAAAATCCACGTGTGAGGAATAGGGGTAAAGAGAGATAGATTGTTTTGCAAAAACTGAAATCCAGCCTCAACTCAGCTTAATCCTTCACCAGACTGAGACAATCATCCCTCATGGTCATCTGCTTAACAGAGGAAAGAAGGAACATTCTGTGTAGCAAATTATATCATCTGCAGTCCCTATACCTCTTACATACAATGTCTGCATATAATAAAAAATAATCGGGTGAAGAGGCAGGAAATGATAACTGATAAGAGAAAAAATAGACAATAGAAGCAGACACACAGATCTTTCAGATGTAGGAGTTAGTAGATAGGACTCTAAAATAACTGATTATAGAAGCACTGGAACTCTCAGACATTGGTGGTAGAGGTGTAAAATTGTATATCCATGTATCAGCCAGCATTCACTCAGGATACAGAAACCACACAGTAATTTGGACAAGGAAATTTTAACGTAAAGAATTATTAAGTATAAAAGGTGCTAAGAGGAAAGGAGAATTCTAAGGAATATAATTATAGCAGATACAGGGAGTAGCCTCTGGGGCTGAAGCAGAGAACCCAAAGAAGGAACAAACCTGTATGAGGTCCCTCCTCACACTCTACCCCCAGGCTGAGGTCCATACCTTGTTGGAGACAGTGTAGCCATGACTCCCTGGATGATGAAGAAGTTTGCTGAAGTTCCATGCAGATGGAATGCAAGGAAAGCATTCCTCTTGGGTACTGAGGGAAGCCATCCAGGGAAAGGTGCTGCACTATGGAATTTGCTGGAAAACTTCCCACGGGAATGATTCATTCAAAAGCTGACCTCTGTGGTGATGGAGGAAGCTGTCAGTGGAGACGTGCTGTGTATTTCTGGCTGCCACGTGTGGAGGAGCCATGTGCTGCAGGAACCCAGCAAGTGAGCACATCAGAGCCAGGAAGAGAAGCCACTTTCTCCTGCAGTGGCAGTCAGTACCCTTTCCTGACAAAGCTTAACAATGTGCCAGATGGCAGAAGAAAAATGTTTACAGGGTCCAGCTTCATTATCACAGGCAGGTAATAAAGATGGGTTTGGCACTGAATGGTGATAAATTGATAACTGGCACAATCAGCCTTGAAAGTAGAACCTACTATAGCTAAACATACATCTACCTTCTGATTCAACATTTCTACTTCTAGGTACATACTTAAGAGAAATGAGCAACTATGTTCACCAAAAAACATATATAAAAATATTTATAGCAGCTTTAGTCATAATGGCCTAAACGTGGAAACAACCAAAATGTTTATGAACTGGAGAATGAATACATAAATTGTGGTCTATTCATACAATGGAATACTATACTACAATAAATAAGAATGATGTACTGATACATAAGCAACATGAATAAATCTCACAGACATTATATTAAGTGAAAGGAGCCAGATGGAAAAGACAACATATATGAGGTCCAGTAAATAGTAAAACCAATTGATGGTGATAGAAGTCAGAATAGTGGTTATCTCTTTGGGGCAAGGGAGCGATGCCTGAGAGGGAAGGAAGTACCAGAAATATTATGTATCTTGATTTGGGTGATGGTTACATGGGTATATACAAGTATGAAAATTCATCAAACTATGCATTCACGATTAGCATACTTCATGCACCATTGCATGTGTGTTATACTTTGAAAATTCAAAATATCCTCAATTAATATGTTGAATAAAACAGAAGAAGAGGTAGGTAAAATAGATAAAAGGAAAGGAAATGTCACTGGATACGTGGAATCTACAACAAATAAAAATAGAAATAAAATGCACACTCTAGAACTTATAAAGTCTACTAATGGAAATCAAGAACTCATTGGATGAGTTTAATAGCAGATTGAACACAGCTGAGCACAGGATTACTGAACTTGAAGACAAATTACAAAATACATTGAAATGAAAACACAGGAAAAAAGATGGAAAGAAAAAGAGATAATAGTATAAAAGATAAGCAGGCCATATACTACTGACTAACATTCATATCACTGGAGTCCCAGAAGGAGAGGAGAGAGAGAATGGGACAGTAGCAATAGTCAGAGAGGTAACAGCAAAACATTTTCCAGTGGGTGAAAGACATCAAATTCATAGATTCAAGGAGTTTGGTGAATCCCAAAGAGGGTAAGCACAGAGAAAACTGATTGCAGGCACATTATAGTTAACTGCTAAAAACCAGGTAAAACATAATTTTTACAAAGATTTATATATTTGAGAGAGACAGACAGAGACAGAGAGCACAGACGTGAGTGGGGGGAGGGGCAGAGAGAGAGGGAGAGAGGGAATCTAAAGCCGACTCCTCACTGAGTGGGGAGCCTGGCACTGGGCTCGATCCCATGACCCTGAGATCATGACCTGAGCTGAAACCAAGAGTAGGATGCTCAGCCAACTGAGCCACCCAGGTGCCCCTCAAACATAATTTTTAAAACATCAGGTATCTTCCTTCATTGAGAAAATCCTTTGATGAACATTTTCTGAAGCTGAGAAGAAGCGGAACTGGGGTGAGAGCCATTATTCCCTGCCACACAAACAACGTGCTGTGGCCTGGCCTCTCAACAGGAGACATTCTGCAACTAAGAGCCTGAGCCCAGCATCCTGAGCATCTCTCCTTGTTAATCACCCAACCCCAGCTGGCCAAACAATGGAGAAATGATTGTCCTTTGTAGCCACATGTGTTCGTGAGTCGTAGTATTTGAAATATTGTAATACCAAGTTAGAAAAGCAAAAATTGCCTGGAATTTGAACCTGAAATGCAGGATTTATTCATTTCCATTTAGCCCCATTCTCTGGAATCCAATTAAATTACCCCTGCTAACAAATAAGACAGAAAAATTTTAAATCTTTGATGGTTAGAATTTTAAAACATTTTTACACTAAAACAAATGCGGATATTGTATGTAGTATTTCAAAATATGCATACATCTTAGCAAAGTTTAGAGAACCCAGAAGGCCATTGAGCCTGGCCTCTAATGCCTGTGGCAGTCATTCAGGAAGCCTCAGGGGACACCTGGAGAAGCAGAGTCTTTAGTAATGAGATCTGTGTGGCTCACTCAGATCCAGATCTGCCTCAAAAGCTTCTTTTGTCTGCCCAAAAAGATGGGCAAGGAGTTCTGGTCTAATGAGAAGTTAGATGGGAAAGAAGTCCTGCTCTCTAATCTCCCAGGAGAGCCTAAACAATCAAGGGGCAATGCTCATTACCTCTTGGGAGGTACCAGGAACTATGAAGGTCTGACATTTTATCCTACTTGCAAGCTCTAACAAGTGATCTTTCCATAGTTTTATGGACACTGGCAGAAAACGTGAAACTCGGGCGCCTGGGTGGCTCAGTTGGTTGAGCGACTGCCTTCGGCTCAGGTCATGATCCTAGAGTCCCACATCGGGCTCCCTGCTCGGCGAGGAGCCTGCTTCTCCCTCTAACCCTCCCCCCTCTCATGTACTTTCTCGCTTTCTCAAATAAATAAATAAATCTTAAAAAAAAAAAAAAAAAGAAAACGTGAAACTCCTGGGTCAGAGGTGAAGGAGAGGTTATTACGCACAGTAGTCATCAGGGTATTTGCATTTTTGCACAGGATTCCTCAACCTCGATTCCCAGAGGACGATGCAAAGAGGTCCAGGTACACCTGCACATGCAGTGGGTTGTGTTACAGAAGAACTCTGAGCTTTCACACTGGAGAGTGAGTATGCTTGCTGTAGAAAGAGACACCACCTCCATCTTCCAAGGCTGTAAGCAAACCTGCCCTTTGTTTTATTTTTATTTATTTATTTTTAAAGATTTTATTCATTTGAGAGAGAGAGAGAGAATGAGCATGGGGAGGGGCAGAGAGAGAGAGCGAGAAGCAGACTGCCACTGAGCTGGGAGCCAAATGTGGAGCTCGATCCCAGGACCCTGGGATCATGACCTGAGCTGAAGGCAGATGCTTCACCGACTGAGCCACCCAGGCGCCCCTGCTCTTTGTTTTAGAAGGAGATACTATCTCTATCTTTCAAGTCTGTCCACTGTGTAAACATTCTTGAAAAGAAAGTTGAGAATAAACACAGTCAGTGCCTCTGCTTACAAAATGTGCAGAAGTGTGAGGCAGCCTTGGAGGAATGCTGCTGACAGGAACCTGGGATCGGACTGCTGTGCGTGGAGCAGATGTCTCCTTCCTATCTCTTTTAAACTCTGGATAAGCCTGAGTGGTGGGCAGCACAGGGTTCACTAGTCCTGCTCATGAGGGATACCCAAGGCTCTGTGGTAAGAGTCACTAGAAAGTAGCTGAAGTCCCCTGCCCTATAGGGACTCAGAATACAGATCAGCAGTTTGATGGGACTCCCAGTGACTGCTACACTGTGAAAAAAAAAGTTAGACTCCGATGCAGGTTGGTGGACTCAGAGACAGGCTGCTTCCATTTTGTGGCTCACTAGCTTGTTTTCAAAGTCAGCCTCACGATCAACAAAAACTACTAGAACTAATAGGCAAAGTTAGCAAGAATACAAAGTCAATATACAAAACCCAGTGTCTGTCTGTGTTTCTTTCTTTCTTTCTTTTCTTTCTTTCTTTCTTTCTTTCTTTCTTTCTTTTCTTTCTTTCTTTCTTTCTTTCTTTCTTTCTTTCTTTCTTTCTTTCTTTCTTTCTTTCTTCCTTTCTTTCTTTCTTTTTTCTTTCTTTCTTTCTTTCTTTCTTTCTCTCTCTCTCTCTCTCTTTCTTTCTTTCTCTCTCTCTCTCTCTCTCTCTCTTTCTTTCTTTCTTAAGATTTTATTTATTTATTTGACAGAGAGAGACACAGCAAGAGAGGGAACACAAGCAGGGGGAGTGGGAGAGGGAGAAGCAGGCTTCCCGCCAAGCAGAGAGCCCAATGAGGGGCTACATCCCAGGACCCTGGGATCATGACCTGAGCTGAAGGCAGATGCTTAATGACTGAGCCACCCAGGTGCCCCATCTTTCTTTTTTTTTTAAGATGTTATTTTTAAGTAATCTCTACATCCAATATGGAGCTGGAACTCACAACCCGGAGATCAAGGGTCACATGCTCTGCCAACTAAGCCAGCCAGGTGCCCCACAAAATCCAGTTTATTTCTATGAACTGGCAGGACACAATTGGAAATGAAGTAAAAACATAAAAGTGATTTCATTAAGAATAGCATTAACAAACATGAAATACAAATGACTTCCAACAACTATAAACTTTGCTGAAATGAAAGAGTTAAATAAATGGGAGGGGTGGTGCCTGGGTAGCTCGGTTGATTGAGCATCTGACCCTTGGCTTCGGCTCAGGTCATGATCTCAGGGTCCTGAGATGGAGCCCTGCATGGGGCTCCACACAGCGCAGAGTCTGCTTGGGATTCTTTCCCTCTTCCTCTCCCTCCTCCTCTACTTCTCCCCCACCGAGTTTGCACACACGCACACGCTCTCTCTCAAATAAATAAACAAACAAATAAATAAAATCTTTTTAAAAAAAGAGTAAATAAGTGGAAAGATGCAATATTCATGACTGGAAGACTCAATATTATTAAGATGTCTATTCTCCTCAAGTTAATCTCTAATTTAACGCAATCCTAATCAAATTTCCAACAGGATTAAGAGATACTAACAGATATTCTAAGATTTGTATGAAAATAGCCAAAACAATTTCAAACAGAAAAACAAAGTTAGAGGAGGACTCAGATGACCTGATTTTAAGACTTACTATTTCTTAGCTCAGGCTGCTATAACAAAATACTCTAAACTGGGTGGCTTATCAACAACAGAAATTTATTTCTCACAATCCTGGAGGCTGGAGGTCAGAGATCGTGATGCCAGCAAGCCCGGGTGAAGGTGAAGGTGAAGGTGAAGGTGCTCTTCCTGGTTGCAGACTGCTGACTTTTCCTTGTGTCCTCGCAGGGCAGAAAGAGAGCTAGTTAGCTCTCTGGACTTTTTCTTCTTTTTCTTCTTATCTTTGACCCTCTTCACCTCTTTCTCCAATCCTGCATTCCTGGTCTCTGGACCAACAATCTGTTCTTTGTATCTACGAGCTTTTTTTTTTGTTTTGTTGGTTGTTTTGTTTTGTTTTCAATTCCACATATAAGAGGGATCATACAGTATTTGTCTTTGACTTATTTCATTTAGCGTAATGCCCTTGAGGCCCATCAATGTAGTCACAAATGGCAAGATTTCATTCTTTTTAATGATTGAATAACATCCCATTGTACATATACACCACAGTCTTTACCCATTCATCCATCAGTGGATGTTTAAGTTGGTTTCCATAATCTTGGCTTCTGTAAATAATGCTACAATGAACACGAGAGTGCGGATATTTTTTTAGGTTTGTGTTTTTCTTTTCTTTAGATAAACACCCAGAAGCGGAACTGCTGGGTCATATGGTAGTTTAATTTTAAATTTTTGAGGAACTTCCATACTGTTTTCCATGGTGGCTGCACCAATTTCATTCTCACCAACAATGCACAAAGGTCCCCTTTTCTCTACACCCTCACCAACACTTGTTATTGCTTGTCTTTTTGATAATAGCCATTTCTAACAGGTATGAGGTGATACCTCATTGTGATTTTGACTTGCATTTCCCTGATGATTAATGATGTTGAGCATCTTTTCACGTACCTGTTAGCCATCTGTGTGTCTTCTCTGGAAAATATCTATTTAGATCCCATGTCCATTTTGTAATTGATTGCTTTTTGCTATTGAGTTGTATGAGTTTATATATTTTGGATATTAACCCCTTATCAGATACATGATTTTAAATATTTTCTCCCATTCAGTAGGCTGCTTTTTCATTTCTCCCATTTGGATGGTTTCCTTTGCCATGCAGAAGCTTTTTATCATGATGTCATCCCACTTATTTATTTTTGCTTTTGTTGCTTTTTTTCTCTTGTCAAATTAAAAAAATAATTGCCAGGACCTATGTCAAGTTGCTTACTGCCTATGTTTTCTTCTAGGAGTTTTATGATTTCAGTCTTACATTCTTTAATCCATTTTGAGTTAATTTTTGTGTATGGTATAAGAAAGTGGTCCAGTTTCACTCTTTTGCATGTGGCTGTCCAGTTTTTCCAACACCATTTGTTGAAGAGACTATTCTTTTTCCCACTCTACATTCTTGGCTCTTTGTCATAAATTAATTGGCCATATATGCATGAGTTTATTTCTGAGCTCTCTATTTTGTTCTATTGATCTGTGTGTCTGTATTTATGCCAATACCAAACTGTTTTAATTACTATAGCTTTGTAATATAATGTGAAATCAGGAAGCAGGATACTTTCAGCTCTGTTCTTTTTTTTTTTTAAGATTTTATTTATTTATTTGACAGAGAGACACAGCGAGAGAGGGAACACAAGCAGGGGGAGTGGGAGGGGAGAAGCAGGTCTCCCGCTGAGCAGGGAGCCCGATGCAGGGCTTGATCCCAGGACCCTGGGATCATGACCTGAACTGAAGGAAGACACCCAACGACTGAGCCACCCAGGCGCCCCAGCTCTGTTCTTTCTCAAGATTGCTTTGGCTATTCTGAGTTTTTTGTGGTTCCATACAAATTTTAGAATGGCACATGGCAGGGCAGAAAGAGAGGTAGCTAGCTCTCTGGCTTATTCTCATAAGGGCACTAATTCCATTCATGAGAGCTTTGCCTTCATGACCTAACTACCTCCCAAAGGCCTCACCTCCAAATACCATCTCATTAGGATTAGGGTTACAACATATGAATTTTGAGGGGACACAAACATTCAGTCCACAACACTATACAACAGTAGTCAAGACAGTGAAGTACCAGCATAAGGATATATAAATACATCAGTGGGATAGACCAGGGAGTCCAGAAAGAAACACACTTATAACCAATTGATATTTGACAAACATGCCAAAACAACACAATGGAGTAAAGCAAAGTCTTTTCAACAAATGGTACTTGCACAACAGAAATCCATATGGAAAAGAAAAAAGGAAATTTGACTCCTACCTCACATCTCATGAAAAGGCAATTAGAAGTAAACTGTGGAACACCCATTCACGAAATGCAGCAAAAACAAGGAACAAAATATTGATACATGCAACAACTTAGATGATTCTCCAGGGAATTGTGCTGAGTGAAGAAAAGCCAATCCCAAAAGTTTACATGCTATATGCTATGATCTATATATCATTTTTTTAAGTGACAACATTTTAGAAATGGAGGACAGAATAGAGGTTGTCAGAAGTTAGGGGGAGAGATAAAGGAGAGAGGTGGGTGTGGCTAAAGGGCAACACAAAGGATCCCTGTGTTCAGGATCCTAACTATGGTGGTGGATACATGAACCTACACAGATGATAAAATTAAAGACACGCACATACACACACACACACAAATACAACTAAAACTCAGAAAATCTGACTGAGACAGGTGGATTGTATCATTGTCAATATCCTGGATGTGATATTAGGCTATAGTTTTGCAAAATGTTACCATTGGGTAAACTGGGCCAAATATACAAATGATTCCATGTTATTCTCACCATTACATGAACCTACAATTATCTCAATAAAAATTTCATTTAGAAAATGAATTTGAGATGGATCATAGGCTTAAATGTAAATTTTTAATAAGTCCTGTCATGATAACTTTTTTATAATTCCTAGGAGAAAATAAAGGGAATATCTTCATGACCTGGGAGTTGGAAATCCTTAGGAAAGGAAAAGATTTCTTCAACAGGGCAAAAAGCCCCAATAAACATAGAATAAAAACTGACAAATTAAATTTCATCAAATTAAAAATATCTCTGGTCATTAAAGCCATCCTGGTCACATGGAGCTGGCAGATGGGGGCAGAGTGTGGGGGGTTCAGAGGTAGCACCCGGCACTGCCACCCTGATGGAGGAAAACTAATGGAATGGCTCCATCTGGCTGCCAGGGCTGGGGGTAGCCACTGTGAACTTTGCGGGGGAAGCTGCCTCTCAGCGACAGTCCTATGCTGTGAAGAGAGGATGACACCTCAAGCAATAATGGCGTGACTATCAATAAAATTTGGAAGACGTTATCTCTCTCCACCACATTCCTGAAATGTAGGTATTATACTCCCCATTTTAAAGACTAGGAAACTGAGTCTGAGGAAGTTCAAGTAAGGTTCCCAAGCTCACACAGCTTGTAGGTGGTGGGTCCAAGGACCCAACCCACGTCTGTGAGATTCTAATGTTCCTGGTTCTACTCCTCCTTGCTGCCTTCCTCAGAGCCAGTCATAGTAGGGACACGCTGGTATTTATGGAAAAAAGAAACCATAATATCCGGAAGCAGAGAGGTGTCAATATGTATACATTCTTATCAGCTAACATGAAAACTGGAAACTATTTGGTTTTGTGATTTGCTCTTAAAGTGAGTAAGTTCATTGTTGTTGCACAGAGTCACGACACAATTCTAAGTGTTTAAATAAAGAAAATGCTCCTGGCATCCAATTTGGATCACAGAAGGGTTTCCCTTGAGTAAACCATCATCTTGTGTTAATAAACATAACTCGCAGGAGAAAGAATAATTTTTGTTTGTTTTTTCAATCTTTCAGACACCAAAACACAGGAGTAACCTCTAAAGTTAGAAGTTTTTGCATTAAACAAAAGCAAAACAAACAAACAAAACACCTTCCTTAGAGCAGGACTTTTGGGCAACGCAATCCAATTACTGATGGATATCATAAAATATGTAAAAGAGGGAACTTTCATTAAATCAAGGTGTAAAAAGCTGGGGTGATCCATTTGGGAAAAATTGAGGAGGTTCTATATTGTCCAAACTGACTTTTGCAAGTAAAAAGGGTTGCTATTAATAATTGCACAGGACAACATGTATAAAGTCAGGGTGTAAAGACATGTAGTCACCCTAAATTTGTTCTGTGGTTTAATTTGGCAAAGATGTGACTACATTTTATGGTGGAGACCAACCAGTGGTGAGAAACTGAACCCTTTCAAAAAGAACAAAAAGTATTTTTCAGTGTCCTGGCAGTATTTTTCAGGGTCCTGACTTGAATTTTATTTTGGAAATGAAGTTCTAAGGGAGATTTCAAACCATTCAAGAGCATGAGTAACCACCACTCAGTGGCAACAAACATCACTTGCATTTAGTAGACCCAATCTGCAATGCTGTGTCTTACAGACACCCTGTATGGATGTGCCTCAGTTTGCTTATTCATTCACCTATTTAGGACATCTTGGTTATTTCCAATTTGGGGTGATTGTGAATAAATCTGCTATAAACATTACATACAGGTTTTTGTGTATACCTAAGTTTTCCAATCAATTGGATAAACCTGCAGGAGCATCATTGCTGGACCATACAGTAAGACTACATTTAGCTTTCTAAAAAACTGCCAAACTGTCTTCCAAAGTGGCTGTATACCATTTTGGATTCCCACCAGCAATAAATGAGAGTGTCTACTGCTCTGGTGCTCTTCACCAACTTTTGTGAACCAATATTGTCAATTTGGGGGGTTTTAGCCATCCTAATAGGTGTGTGGAAGTATCTCATTATTGCTCTAATTTGTAATCCCTAATTTATTTATGTCTGTGATCCATTTTGAGGTAATTTTTGTAAAAGGTGTAAGCTCTGTGTCCAGATCCAATTATTCCAGCACCACTTTTTTGAAAAGACTATCTTTCTCCCTTGACTTTCCTTTGCCCCTTTGTCAAAGATCAGTTGACCACATGAGTATGGGTCTGTTTCTGGGCTCTGTTCTGTTTCTCCCTCTGCCCCTCCCCTCTGCTCATGCTCTTGCTTGCTCTCTCTCTCAAATGAATAAATAGAAAATCTTAAAAAAAAAAAAGCAAGGGGAGCTGCAGAGGGAGAGGGAGCTGAAGGCAGACACTTGATGACTGAGCCACCCAGGCGCCCCACTCCTTTATTTTTTAACTTATCTGTGTCTTTATATTTAAAGTGAATTTCTTGGGGCAGCTGGCTGGCTCAGTCTGAAGGGCATGCGATTCTTAATTTTGGGGTCATGAATTCGAGCCCCACGTTGGGGGGTAGAGATTACTTAAATAGATAAAACTTAAAAAAAGAAATAAAGTGAATTTCTTATAGACAACACACAGTTGGGCCTTTTTTTTTTTTAATCCATTGACACTCTGTCTTTTAATTGGTATAGACTATTCATGCTATGTTGGTAACTGTTTTCTATTTGCCCCACTTGACTTTCATACATAATTTTGAATTTATAATTGTGTATTCTTTGTTAAAGGGAATCCCTTCAGATCCCTCAACACCTGGAGCCACCCCTGGCTGGCATGCAGTAAGTAACAACAGAAAAGCTGCACAGCAGGGGCGCCTGGGTGGCTCAGACGTTAAGCGTCTGCCTTCAGCTCAGGTCATGGTCCTAGGGTCCTGGGATCAAGCCCCGCATCGGGCTCCCTGCTCAGCGGGAAGCCTGCTTCTCCCTCTCCCACTCCCCCTGCTTATGTTCCTGCTCTTCCTGTCTCTCTGTCAAATAAATAAAATCTTAAAAAAAAAAAAAAAGAAAGAAAAGCTGCACACCAGCTCTGGTTGGGCTGGAAGTATGCAGGGCTTCGGGGAGGCAACTGTCCAGTACCTGAGTGCACAGGGTCTCTGCTTGCTGAGTCCAAATGCCCCAGACACTGACAAACGCATCAGCCAGCGAGAGCGTCCCTATAGCACAATTCGGCTTGCAAGGGGGCGGGACTCCCTCCCGCTGTTCTGCGCGCCCGCGGTGGGCGTGGCTTACGCGTACGCTTGTTTATTGTTGCCCTGACGACCGTGGCTGGGTCTCTAACGACTGGGTTGGAAACTCGCGGCAATTTGAGGACCGTGTAGCCGTCGAGGGATCGTTCGCGGTGGCTCAGTTTCCCAGGAATATAGTGCAACAGTAGGGATAACAGGGTTCTGTGGCCTTTTCCTGCCCGAATTCCTCGGCAGGCGCTCCGATGCCTGAAGGGCTGCGTCGCCGGGCTCCCCCACTCCATGCTGGGAAGGGGCTTTGCCGAAAACCGCCTGGCGAGCCACGACCCTGCGGGCGGCAGGCTCTCCTTTCCACCCCCCACCCCGTGGTGTTCATTTTGCATCGGGGCATTTATTTCGTTGCCACTCATGTTTACCTTAAGGGACGGGGGCTTTGTCTGAAGGAGGCTCTGGGTTTGCTGGTTTTCGCAGCGGTTTGTCTCCAGGCTGCTGTTGGGAACAGTCCGAACCCGAAGTAACAGGGCTTCTGTCTTCTTTGCAGAGCCATGGGAAGCAAGAAGAAGGAAATTGCCCTGCAGGTAAGCCTCAAGGGGCTCTTGCTTCTAGCACTTGATTGGGGGTAGGGGTTGAGGAGTGGAAAGAAATGTATAAAAGTGATATTATTTGCTAGCAGTACGTGACAGTGTTCTCAAACTTGAATATTGTACCCTTCCATCTTAAAGGGGGAAAAAAAACCCAACAAACTTATCTCGACCCCCAGTGACAATTTTTTGTGTGCCCTTAAATATAAGCAAACATAAAATGGGGTATAAGCTCTTTATGCTTATAGTGCTTATTCAAACATAATTCAAACATGAATTAAAATAAAACTAAAAACGCAAGAAAATATGAACAAATACAATTCGATACTGACATATTTTTTGTTGAAATATAAATGCGGCTTGCTTCGAGAATATGATGTAGGGTTCTTTTGAGTTTGGGCATGCGTCCGTAACTACATGCTCTCTGGAGACCCAGTTCTCCCACCACTGCTCTTTGCGATCATTTGCTTATTCAACAAATATGTTTTGATATTTTACGTGCTGCACGTAAAATTTTTGTATAGAGTGCTTTACTTTGTTGTATAGAGTGCTTTACTTCATTTGCACCTGGAACAAATGACTCTGTAAGCCCCCATCTGCTTTGATTCCTGATCCCGGACAAGAGGGAGTGTTTTATCATAAGCAGATCATCTGGATGATCTGTAATTTGTGCACATTTTAAAGCAAACTTTACAGTGTCTCATAGTTCAGCCCATCTGGAAACATGCTCAGGCGCCACCTGCAGAGTAGAGTGGCAGTGGTCTTGAGACACCTGATTTCTCTTTCATTGTCCTTGGTGGCACCAGCACTTTACATGTGAATTTCCAAAGCCTAATGATTTAAAAAGGGAGAAAGCAATGTCACTGTAAGGATAGCATGTACTAGGAGAGGGTGGGAAGAGCTTTGGACTGAAGGTCTGAAGACCTGATAGAGTTCTTGATCTTCTCTTAGTCAACTCGGAGACTTGAGATCAATCACATAACCTCTCTTGCTATAGCTTGCCCATCTGTAGAATGAGTGAACTATCCCTAAGGGCCTTCCAGCACTGGTGCTCTAGTACTCTGGAGTTATGAAACTTTTCATACGTCTTCATTCTGACTGTAAATAAATTCTAAACACCTGGACTTACTGCTTTGTGAATGATTTCCTCAACCTCCCTGAGACTCCATATCCTTTATGCAAACAGGAAGGATAATACATAGCCTGCAGAGTTATTGCGATGAGACTCCTTTAGGGATTTCAAGGCTCGACTGATTGCTGTCTGTGGTGGCTCTAAGATTTTTGCCCCATATGATTATCTTTTCATCTGTCTATGCCTTGTATCTCCTTTGGGATAATATTTTTTGGTGATTTCACAAAAATGTTATTTCCCAGAGCTCCGAATTCAGTTTGGTGCTCCAAGTAAGTACTCCCGATTGCTGAGGGATGTGCATGGAGACATCTGTGTGAACACTGCCTCTCTACCAGGTCAGCTCCTTGAAAGCAGTGCTGTAGGGTTTGCAAGCCCAGGAACCCTGTCCTCTCTTTGACTATTTCGGGCTTCTTCTGTGACTGAGACAGAAATCACAGGACATCAAGAGACAATCTGGCCAGAATGTGCCACGCATTCCCCATTCATTCCCGACCAAATGTAGGGCTTAGTGAAGTCCAGACATTTTCCATACTCTCCTGATCATGGCCCATTCCTAGGAGTGAGATTCTTTAAGTGTTCGGAGTCCCTGCCCCATAGCTGGTGAGGCTTATCCCACAACAGGGGTGTACCACAGAGAGTTGCTACTGATGGACCAATGAGCCACCGGAAGCGACTGTTATGAGAGAGGGTGGGGGTGGGGACTCTTATGAACCATCTGTCACCTTCTTCAGGACTACAGTTGTGAGCCCAGAATGACGTTGGTCCAACTCTCTTAGATCCCTCAAGGCATCAAGAAGAAGACTCTTCCGTTTTTTCTGTTTTTTCATAGAAACAAAAGGTATGGAGATATGATCTCTTTAGAAAGATGGATCTTTAGTAGAAGATTGCAGATGTTACATGTTTCCAGCCCTTTTAAAGGAACAAAGGCCTTAGCATACCTGTATTAAGAATGAGTGATCATTGCCATGGTCTTTTAATTTTTATAGTTTTAAATTAGCCCCACCCAAACTTACTAATTACAAAGTAAAAGAGAATAATTTCACAGTGCAGGAGACTGACAGAGCACCTTAATCAAGTGATCCAAGTGAACATGAACAATAAGGGGCAGATCGAAATTGTGTGTCACCTGATAGGATGCAATGAGAGAACACTCTTCTGCTTCTCTGACACTCCACCCAAACCAATTCCAACCAATCCAAAGATGCACAGCCTGAATCTAATCAGGAAACATCAAACACACCCAAACCAAGGGACATTCTACAGAATAACCCTCCCATAGTCGTCAAGAATGACCCTGAGGTCATGAAAATCAAGGAAAGGCTGAAGAACTATTCCATACTGAAAGAGACTAATCCGGTACATGATTCTGACGAGATCCTTTGCTATTCAGGACAAATAATGTTGGTAAAACCTGAATGGTTTGGATGATTGGTAAAACCTGAATGGGACCTGAAGATGGCATAGTAATAATATATCAGTGTTTATTTCCTGACTTTGATGGTTGTATTGTGGTATGTAGGATAATGTATTCAGAGATAATGGGATATCAGGTTAGTAATTTAAATCCAAATAATTTCAAAATAATTCAAGTTATTTAATAATTTAAATAATTTCAAATAATTCAAGAAGTTCTTTATACTGTACTTGCAAATCTTCTATAAGTTTGAAATTGTTTCCAAATAAAAACATTATTCAAAAATGTACACTATTAATAATGTGCTATGTATAACATAATATGTATTTCTCCTTAAATTTAATTTATGATGGAAACCAGAATACTTTATAGATAAGAGAAAAATGTGAAGAAATGGCAATAAACTCAACTTATTATTTCTGATGTAGATGTTTGGAAATACGTAAAAAAGATGTGCAAAACTTAGACACCAAAAAGTATGAAACATTGCTAAGAAAATTAAGGAAGATTCAATAAGTGATGAGAAACATGATGTTCATGGACTGGAAGACTCAATGTTGTGAAGATTCAGTTTTTTTCCAAATGGACCCATAGATTCAATGCAATCCCAATTAAAATCTCGAGTTTTTGTAGAAATTGACAAGCTGGTTCTAAAAAAATAGAAATGCAAAGGATCAAGAATAGCCAAACATTTTTGAAAAAGAAGAACAAATATGGAAGCCCCACACTGCCTGATTCCAAGACTTATTATAAAGTTACAGTAATTAAAAGAATATGGTGTTGGCAAAAGAATAGAAAATAGGTCAATGAAACGGAAGAGAGCCCAAAATAAACCCATGCTTATGCAGTCAACTGGTTTCAACAAAGGTGCCAAAGCAATTTAATGAGGGGGAAAAAAAAATCTTTTCAAGAAGTTTTGCAGAAAAAACTGTACCTCTACATGGAAATAAAACTAACCTCAATCCTTCCCTCACAATACAGGCAAAAATTAATTTCAGATGGCTCATGGACTTAAATGTGAAAGCTTAAATTATAAAGCTTCTAGAAGAAAATGGGAGAGCATCTTTGTGTATATACGTATATATACACACAATCTAATAATAAAAAGGCCAACAATCCAATAAAGAAAATGGACAGACCAATGGGCACTTCTCAAAGAAGATAAATAAATGGCTGATAAGCACACTAAATAGAGATTATTTTAATAATAAATACCTCTTTTAATAATTTTAATAATAAGCATTATTTAATAATAATGCTTAACACCATTAGTCATCAGGGAAATGAAATTACAAGCACAATGAGATACCACTACATTATCATTAGTGTGGCTAAAATCTAAAAGACTAATATTATATTTTGGTAAGAATGTGGAGCAAGCAGGACTCTTATACTTTGCTGATGAAAGTTTAAAATGGTATAATCACTTTAGGAAAAGCACGGGCAGTTTCTTATTAAACTGAACATAACATTTACCCTATGTCCCAGCAATGCCACTCCTAGAGTATTTACTTACTGAAGACAAATGAAAACGTGAGCACAACAAGATTTAACAAGAATGTTCATAAGTGGGGCGCCTGGGTGGCTCAGTTGGTTAAGCATCTGCTTTCGGCTCAGGTCATGATCCCAGAGTCCTGCTCAGCAGGGAGCCTGCTTCTCCCTCTGCCTCTGCCCCTACCCCTGCTCACACAGGCTCGCTCTCTCTCTCAAATAAATAAAATCTTAAAAAAAAAAAAGAGTGTTTATAAGTCGTTATTTGTAATAACCCCAAACTAGAAGTAACCCAAATATCTATCAAGCAAATTATGATATAGTCATACAATGAAATATGCTCAGGAATAAAACTGGACAAACTACTGACACACAACCATACAAATATATCTCCCAAAATACCCTGAATGGAAGAAGCTAGCACAAAATAGTATGTGCTGCACTATTCCATTTATAGGCAGTTTTAGAAAAAACACATCTATTGTGACAGAAAGCAGATCAGTGTTCACCTGGGGTGAGGAGCGGGGGTGACCGGGAGGAGACAGAGGAACTTTCGGGGATGACGGGAAAGTTCTGTATTGTGATAGGGGTGTGGTGACCTGGGTTGTGTGCATTTGCAAAAACTCGGCGAACTGCAACACTTTAGTTCTGTGTATTTCACTGTATATAAATTATATATCTCCAGAATACGTAAAAAGACCAAAGAAAAAAACGAATGAATACCTCTCTGTATATGAATCTAGATAAATGTCAAACTGGATTTGAGTGAGAACAAAAATTGCAAAAAGATCTCTATAGTATGATATTATTTATGTACATTTTATGGACACAAAACAATTTTATATATTATTTTTTTGGACGAGCAACAAGAAAAAATTATTTTAAAAAAATGACTGAGATTTTCTTAGGTTAGTGGTTATTTGTGGGGATTGGAGGCAGGAAGAGACAGGAGGAGAAAGGCAGATTGGGGAAAGAAGACAGCTTGAGCTGTATTTGTACCTATTTCAGAGAGGGAGGGAGAGAGGAGGAGGGGAGGGAGGGAAGTGGGGGGAGAGGGAGAGAGGGAGGGAAGGGAGGTAGCAAGAGGTAGGTAGGTAGGTAGGTATCTGGAGCAAACACATCAAATCCTTTCCCCATCCATGCCCTCAGTAATACAGACTTTGTTCTTCTTTGATGTTAGGTTAACATCAGCACCCAGGAGCTTTGGGAGGAAATGCTCAGTTCCAAAGGACTAACTGGTAATCTCAGATACGTTTTTAGATCCAGCCTTTTCAAAATTGCTACATGGCATACTGAACCAGGCAGAGAAAAGCTGCAATGAGCACCATTTTCCTGTCTTGAGTTTCATAAATGAAGAACCAGGTCATTTCTTTGTGCATGTGTATCTATCCAACTTGCACATCTGTTAGTACGTTCAGCTCAGGAAAACAGTCAGTACTGCCGGGTAACAGGGCTCCCTTGTCTCAGAGCTGACTGTCCGACCCAAGGGTTGTTTGGTATGAAGGAATGAAAACCTCTTCTGACTACCTGAGGCATAAAGGGGAATGTGCCGGAAGGAATATGGGGATCTCTTGGAACTCAGGGGCTGGAAGGAGAGCTAGGCATCCCAAGGGGCTGGAACCAGGGACTGCACTGTCATTAAGATCCAGCATAGCCACTGTCCCTTGGGCCTCCTCGTCCCTATCCTCTTGTATGTTATCGATTGCAATTTACTTAGTAGTTTTTAAAAAAATGAACATTTATTTTTTTTTAAAGATTTTATTTATTTGAGAGCGCGAGAGAGCACAGAGGGAGGAACAGACTCCTTGCTGAGCAGGGAGCCCAACGCAGGACTCAATGCCAGGACCCTGAGATCAGGACCTGAGCCGAAGGCAGACACTTAATCAAATGAGCCACCCAGGCACCCCCAAAATGAACATTTCTTATCCCACAGTTTCTGTGGGGTTGGAATCCAGGTGTTGCTTCACCTCTGGTTTGGGATGTCTCTGGTTTGGGGTCTCTCACCAGGCTGCAGTTAAGGTGTAAGACAGGGAATGTCAAAGCTCAACTAAAGTCCAATTTGCTTCTAAGCTTGGTCATGTGGCTCTGACAGATCTTAGAAGGTCATTTCCAACTTCATTCATGAGGCTGTTGGCAGGACTCCGGGCCCTGGGGGCTATTGGCCAGAGACATCAAGTTCTTGCTATCAATTTCTCCATAAAGCTACTTGCAACACAGTAACTTTCTTCCCCAGAGGAAGGGGGGCAGAGGGGGAGGGAGAGACATATGCAAGTCAAAGTCTTTCTATAGCTGAATCTGAAAAGTGACATCCCATCGCTTTGCCCTACGCCGTTGTTAGAAGCCAGGCACTAGGTCCGGCCTGCCCTCAAGGGCACGGGGTTACATCCCAGGAGGCAGGACTCCCCCCTGGCCTCTTAGAGGCTGCCTGCCACACCTGCCACTACAGTTCCTTTCTCGTTTCATTGATGGTGCGTAGCTCTGGGCTCCCTTCCTCTCTCTGTATCTGCTCAGTTCTTCTCCTTATAAACACACCTGCTCGGCCAGCTTGTGTCTGCTCTCACCTCTCCCCACGCATGAACGTGCACGCACACACGTGCACACCCAACTTTTCATTTTCTCTGTCATTTCTTTCCTCCCCGATGTCTTCTCTGTTTTGCTTTGTAACTCTTTTTTTTTTTTTAATTTTTTAAGATTTTATTTATTTGAGAGAGAGAGAGTGAGAGACAGAGCATGAGGGGGGGAGGGCCAGAGGGAGAAGCAGACTCCCCGCCGAGCAGGGAGCCCGATGCGGGACTTGATCCCAGGACTCCAGGATCATGACCTGAGCCGAAGGCAGTCGCTTAACCAACTGAGCCACCCAGGCGCCCCTTGCTTTGTAACTCTTGATACACTTCCTCTCCAGTCCTGCTCTCTGCCCCATAGCCTGTGAAGTATGCCCTTGCCCCACCACTGCTCAGAGAGCCAGGGACTACGAGGGGAGATAGGAAGCTGAACTATGGGTGCAAATCCTGCAGAGAGATTGGTAGCTAATTGGGTCCCATTTTTTCCCTAGTGGGAGTGTGAACCTGCTTTCCTTGGTGGGCCCAAACACAGGCCCTTGAGGTCTTCAAAGACTTTTTCCTGGCTTGACCCAAATGCCTTCCTCCCCCATTACACCTCCCTGGTGTATTGAAATCCCCAAGCCCCTCAAGTGTGAAGCTGTTATCCTCAGCGAAACCCGGAGCTTTGTCCTCCACGTGGGTGCCCAGGAGGCCCAAATCTGTCTCCGTCTCTGCAGGTACCTGGTTGCCTTTGAGACCACTGGCCTTAGATTCTCTTGCTTGAACTGGAAACCCAGCATGTCTAGAACCGAGTTGACGTTTCTCTTTCCCGCAAATGATCTCTCCCTGCTACCACCCAGTTCTTTTCCTCTGCCAGGCTCCAAGGTAGAGTCCTTTCCACACCCACGTGACTTTCATCCCCCGTCCCCCCTTCCCTTCCCTTTCAAAGTCTTGTGGATTCCTCCCTTCCTTCCCTCCCACCCCCACTAACCCCCTGTGCCTGGCTTCCTCATCCCTCCCATACCCAACTTGGTTCTCACTTTCTCCCTGCAAAACTATGTTGCTTGATGAAACTAACCAACACTCCTGAATCCATGCATCTTGCTTCTTTCCTGGAGTAGTTGAAAGAGCATGCACTCAGACGAACCTGGGTTTAAAACTAGATTCTACCGCTTGAGAATTTAATTTTTCTTTTGTACCTTGGGTTAGTTACTTCACGTCTTTGAACTTCATGTCTTTGAACTTCACACAGTCTAGCACTAGCTGTGTCGTCATGATGGGGCTGGACACGTCCTGCATGTATCTGGTACACATGTGTTGGCTTAGCTTGCTTCGCTTTCCCACAGGCCCTGGGGCCTCGTGCAATCAGACGAGAGGGTTCCCTCAAGCCCTGTCCTGGCACACTCCATAGACTGGGACTGACAAAGAAAAAAGTAGCCAAGTTACCATCTAGGTCTCTATCAGGTACACTTTTCAGGAGAACAATGTTGATTTTATAAAGTAAATAAAACTCTCCTTTACCCAAAGAAGTGGCTTTTAATCCATCAGGGGAAAATGTCAAAACTGTGCTTATTATCAAAGCAGCTAAGAGTTGATTGTGTGCTGACAGGCCGCCTACCGTGACCTCTTTTAGAATAGATAATTTTAGTACAATTCAAATATTTATTGAGGGCTACTCTGTACCAGCCTGGCCATGAACGTAGCCTGAAATGACTGCAGGTAAAAGATCCGTAAAGAAAATTGTTTTCTACCGCACTTACTTCATTCTGTTTAGAATTCAGAACCCTGAGTTCGTAAGAATAATGGGTGGCTGTGTTTCCATGCTTGACCCTATTCCAAGGGGAGAATAAATCCCTTGAACCATTAAATAACCCTGCAAACAGACGTGCACTGGAGAGGAGTTAGAGTTTGCAGGTATAAATTTTGCCTGACATGGTGAGTGCTGGTGACCACTGAATGTTCCTGCTTCTTGGTTCCACACAGTTGTTGATGTCTATCAAGGCTGGTGTGGGCCCTGCAAACCCGTGGTGAGCCTCTTCCAGAAGATGAGGATGGAGGTTGGCCTGGACCTTCTGCATTTTGCATTAGTAAGATCCTCTCTCAGCAGAATGTTACACGACACTGTAAAATAATTAAACATTTAAAATCAGGGACAGGAAGCATGAGCTGCCTTTTTTCCAGATCATTGAAAAGGCATCGGTTGTGAAATTTTGGGTCATCAGTTACGGTGCTTTATAGTTTCTTTAGAGATAAAAGATTCCTACCCCACCCCTAGCCCCCGACAGTCACTCTGAGCTCCGGCATCTCTTGACCCTGTGCACAGGGAAGGGGTGCACGTCACCCGACACGCATGTTCCTTCTGGCTCATGAACACTGGGGACTCTGAAGTCTTACTCTCAGAGCACAGAGTTCCAAGATTTTTATGCTGTCCTCCATCATGGGGAATTTCTGGCCAATATATCCTTGGATGAATGTATGGAAATGGGAATAAATTCCAGAGAAGTGTGCGAGAGACACTCGGATTAGAGGTTCATAGGCGGAACACAGGAGAAAATTCACCCACGCTGACCTCTCAAGGACTCTGCACTTTCTTCATGGGGAGTCACTTCTGACCCTTCTGGGGAGGGTGTGTGGCAGCAATGTCTGCCCCTGCACAGGGCTTCTCAGACACGGAAGGCAAACTGTGTGTGGAGAGGGTGTGTGTGTGTGCGTGCGTGCTGTTTATGGGGTCTATGTGTGTATATGTGGGGTGTGTGTCTGTGTGGGTATTGTCCTGTGTGGTCGCCCACCATCATGTCCCTGTGTCCCCGGCACCCCAGGCCCCTCCTGACAGCTTGTTTTCTCTAGGCAGAAGCAGATTGTCTTGATGTCCTTGAAAAGTACCGAGGGAGGTGTGAGCCGAACTTTCTGTTTTATGCAGTAAGTACATCTGTAGAACCAGACCCAGAACCATTGCAGATCATCAGGGTTCCGCTAGAGGCGTCTCCCTGAAAGTCACCAAGAGGCTTCACTGATCCAAACAAGGGATTGTTTCCTCCTTGACTGCATTTGTTATCTGGGGTAAGGAGAGGCATACTTAAGTCCTGGTAATGCAGGTCCCTGCCTTGAACGGTGGCACGGCTTGCTGGCGGGGAGGCCCGGGATGACACAGCTCCTGAGGGTCACTCTGGACTCAGCAGCCTTCCTGATTGGCTGTACACGGGAAAGAATGGGAGTCACTCAAAAGCGTCTGCTCCTTCTGGCTCATGGACAGAGCACAAGGTTTCAAGATTTCTATCCTCCGCTCTGTAGAGGGAAGCTTTCAGCACACATACTCTAATGGGGTAGACAAGCTCTGCGTTCACTTTTATTTAATCGTAAGATGTGAAGATATGTTTACAGAAATTCAGAAATGAAAGGGAGTGTTGAGGAAAACCAAGTAGTTCTGTGTTTTGAAAGATAGTTTGGATGTCTTGGGGTGTGACATCCACGCTCTGGCCCCATGCCCCTCCGGGCCCACTGCCTCACACCTGGCTTCCTAGCTTAGGTCACCTGCCAGGCTCCAAAGGCTTGCGACAGATACGCTATTCCTGACTGCAGCCCGTCCTCATCCAGTCAGGGGAAACTGAGACCTACCCGCCCGCCTCTCCTGACAGCCAGGCCAGGGTTGTTCACTTTGGAAACCTTCAGATTCCTGCCCACAGCACTACAAGTGTCACAGATTGGAAGCCTATGGCCAACATTATTTGGGTGTTGATTCTTGACAGAAGACTGGAGTTAGATGCTGAAACATGGGTGAGGATGGAGGTCTCGAGAAGTGGAAAGGAGCCAAAGTGACAGTGGGCCACAGGCGCAGAAATGCGATTGCTGCCACAGGGGTTCGCTTGCTTGAGCCTGTAGTGATGAAGGCATAAATCACACTGGACTGTGTGGGAGCAGGTGCCAAGGCAGCGGGCTCCATCACAGCCTCTCACCCTGTGGCGGGCCCCCTGCGGGGCGGGGTGGGAACGGGGGAGGGCCCACTCTCCACCAGCTTCTGTGAGTAATAGGCAGAGACTGACTGCTGGAAAGGTTAAAGCCGAGACTCAGTGGCCCCAAACACCACCTCCGCTGTGAATGAAGTCTCCTCTGACCCCCCCGGACGGAACTGGGAATCCATTCTTGCCCTGAATGCCAAGCATCCTGTATGTTCCCCCTCTTAAAGTGATGATCTTACTCTGTTGTAATTGTTTCTTTGATATGACCACCTCTCTCCCCACTTGGCTTCCTGTTCCCTGAAGCAGGCAACTCTGGCTTTTCATGGTGACTGTTCATATTCTTTGCCTCTGTCTTGGGGCTTGGCAGAGTAAGCGCTCAATAGGTATTTGTCAAGTGGATGAGACATGTCTAGGCCACTCTTAGTCACCCACAACTTCATTGCCCTGCTCCTCCCTTAACTAACTCCCTGTTTCCCTGGAGGCAGCTCTGAAAGGAGAGGCATGGGGTAGAAGGCAGAGCAGTGGATGGTGGCCTCGGCCTTGGGCACACGCCTAAGCAAAGCTCTTGGACACTCGCTGGCCCTTCAAAGAGATGAAGATCTGTGAAGGAGTTCAAGCAGTTTGGGTAGCGCGTGTGTTCTGTGTTCTAGGGGGGAGAACTGGTGGCGGTGGTGAGAGGAGCCAACGCCCCGCTGCTGCAGAAAACCATCCGAGAGCAGCTGGAGGCTGAGAAGAAGGTGCTGGCCGAAGGCCGCGAGCGAAAAGTGGTAAGGAGTGCTTCCACCAGCGCCGAGCTCGGTGTCTCCCGGTCCCACCAATCTTCCTGGAGCGCTCAGTGGCAAGTGCCATTAAATGCCCACCCGAGGGCTCGGGGAGGCAGTGCCCACTAGGACATACATGCATTTTATTTTATTTTGGATTTTATTTATTTGACAGAGAGAGAGACAGCAAGAGAGGGAACACAAGCAGGGGGAGTGGGAGAGGGAGAAGCAGGCCTCCCGCCGAGCAGGGAGCCCGATGTGGGGCTCGATCCCAGGACCCTGAGATCATGACCTGAGCCAAAGGCTGATGCTTAACCGACTGAGCCACCCAGGCGTCCCATACATTTTAAAAAACTCATTTTAAAAAGTTGCACCCTTCATCCAGAGCACTTGAACTTCTCTTATCCATTTCCTGTTCATCCCCTGCTTCAATTCTTAACAGGGGTTTCTGGAACTCTGACAATATGTTCAGAAATGAAGATAAAGTTATGGAGTAGAGTAGTGGGGTAGAAGTCAGCCTCACTGTGAGTTCTCTCCTGGTGATCTGCCCTCGCCTCCCATACCTGAAAGTTTTAGTTTAAGGGATCGTTTAATTTAGAAATTAAGCCCTGTCATTCACACGAGCAATAGGATCAGCATGGCTTATGATTTTGATAAATTATTTCTATGACAGCATAGACTACAAGTTTCTCACAAAAATTTGGCTGCCATTGAACACTGACACCACCTCAGATAGAGAGAGGCATTTCCTGGTGCTTTGAGCTTCTGTCCAATGAGCCTTATGTTGTTCAGTATTCATTGTTCAAGTTTTCATAGTCACTTCCAAATAGTGAAGCCCTGTTTTTATAGAATGGCTTAGAATCTATATTTTTTCCGAAAATCACACCTGCTTGTGCCCCCTCCAGGGGGAGATGATGTCTTCACGACTAACGTTGCCTGGGGGAGCCAGTTGATAAGTATCTCCTTGTATGTCACTTCTTCCTTTGTCTTCTGGCCAACTCCCTACTTCATCTTTTCTACTTGGTGTTTGTGGAAATGGGCCGAATCTAAACCTTAAAGTCAGCATGGATTTCCTTGTCTTCGAACACCCTCACCTCCACCGTCATCCAGCTACTAAAAAAGATCTTGTAAAGTTTCCAAGGCTGACGCTCTTGACCCCCTTTTCTTGGCTCTGCATTTCAGGCCTTTGCATTTTTTTTTTTTTTGGCTTCTGTCGGTTGCTGGAGGTCTTTGTGGTAATTTTAATTAGCTAACTACTTTCTGTTCATGACCCATGTGTTGCTCTAGATTAGAGACGAGGCTCTGTCTGATGAAGACGGATGCCTCTCCCATGACAAGGACAATGGTGAAGATGTGGACGTGGGTGAGTATAGAACCAGTAAGCAAGACAAAAAGGCAAAGCATATGGGTCATCAGTGATTTGGGCAATCTGAACTCTGGGAAGATTAACCGTGAAACATTCGGTTTCCAGTCACCTAACTTCAAACATACTGTGCCCAATCTCCCTTCTGCCCTTTCTTGACATTGTAGGTACTTTTTGCAGCTTTCTGATCATGCTCAAGTATCACAAGTATGACTTTCGGGGCTACTACCCCACATCAGGAAAAGCCCCACTTAATAAAAAGGAAGGTAGAATTTCAAGTAATGATGCTGGTGTTTCCTTAGTCTTCATTTGAGCTAAAGAGAGCTCATTTCTTTTTTTCACCTTTTCCTGAAGCGTCCAAAAGTCAGGAGTCCTGGGCGTCATAGTTCTTCCTGAACCTTTACTATGGGAAGAACAACTTGACTTGACAGCAGGGAAGCCAGAAGTTAGAAGGTGGCTTGTGACAGTAACTGAGACTCTAGGGGAAACCAGCATTAAGTTCAGGAACTGAGTTGGAAGGAGAAGGAAGATTTTTATTATTGTGTGAAGCAGAGAGGCTGTTTATTCATGTGGGGATAATGAGGACTGTTTGAGTTTGGATTCTAACAAGGAAAGAGGCACAGTTCGGAGAGCAAAAACACTTCAAGTGTGAAAAAATTAGTGTTCTGGCCTCTGCAGGAAACATTTGTTACCTCCTTTTTTGGATGATCTCCTCTTCCCTCCTTCATTATCTCCTCTCAAATCAAGTCTCTCCACCTAGAAAATAACCTAAAAGCCTGCCCTTGCCCTTAGCCTTCCTTCCCTCCATGCCTGAACTTCCTGAGCTCCCATACTCCTTGGGCACCCCTCACCTTCGGCTCCTGCCCGACTTGCTCCCTGGTGCTCATGGGGCACCACTGACCTTGGTGGCCAAATCCAACACACAGTGTCCAGTCATATCCTACAGCCTCTGAGGACTTGGATGATGTTGACAGTGCCTTCCTTCTCCAAACCCTCGTCTCTTTTCGTTTCTGAGATGTCATGACCTTTCTCGTTTTCCTTCTACGTCTCTGGCCTCTCCACAGCCTGCCCCCCTTCATTGGCCTTTTCTCATTTGCTCCCCTTTCAAGCTGGAATTCTCTGGGCCCTGATCTGGCCTCTTCTCTTCTCACCCCGCGCCTCTAGGGGTTCTCATTAATGGGTCAACGTATAAGGGATTTCATTTTAAGAGTCCCTTAAAGACTAAGGATTCATGGGACATTAGAAATGAGAAAAATGGATAGATTTGTTGCTTAAAATGATTCACATTTTTGCAGTACACAAGTTTTTGAGATTTTCAGAGTAGGAAGTTCTCCTCAAACGCAGACGTTGTCATGTTTCATTGCCACACAACTGATGTAAAGGTTGAGAACAGAAAATAGGCTATGGGGGGTACAGAGTCTGTGGAGAGTGTAGGAAGCTCACCAAGGCCAAGTTGATACAAACAGGAGTACAGTAGGGCTGGGCTTATGGACTGGACACCGGGCCTCCTACAGGCCTGAGCAGGGACTACAACCATGTGCCACCTCCCGCGTCACCACAGCTGATTGGATCTATGGGCACTGACCAAAGAACAGCCATCAGGACACTGTTCAGGGAGCTATGACTGCTACCTTGGCTCCACACAACGAACTGGCCAGTCTGATCTTCTCTCAGGAGAACGTGCTGGTGCTGAAAAGTCATACAGACTCAGGGCCTGGGGCAGTCATTACTGCCCATATGCCAGAAAAGTTAAAAAGAAGCTCTGGCGAGGGAGCCAGTGGAGTAAGAGAACAGAGTAGACAGCAGCTAGAGGCTCAGAGTCAGGGGAGGTGACAGGAAGGCACGAGAGAGGCCAGGCCCGTGTTGCCTCTGTTCCAGCTCTCCCCAGCTCCAAGCTGACTCTTCCAGTTGTTGCTGGAGCTCTGCTCCGAGTAGTCTCTGATCTCCTCCCTGCTCTCCCTCCCCACCCCTACCCCAGCTTCATCAGGGAAGACCTGCACCTTGGCCATCATTAAGCCAGACGCAGTGGTCCACGGAAAGACTGATGAGATTATTATGAAGGTAAGAGAGACAACGCTTCCCGGACAGACTGCCCTCATGTCTCCTCTGCTGGAAAAGCAGGGGTGGGGCATTGAACAACAGTGTGCTAGTGGGAAAAGGAGGCTTCTGAGGAGCTCCAACCAAAATTCCAGTTAAGTCAACGAAACATTTTAAATCCGTTTGGGACAGATACGATGAGGATGAGGGTCTTCGCTGCTTTTAATGTTATCTTTCCCATTATCTTTTACTTTTCAGCACATTTGAATGTGAATTTGGGCTTGATTTACCCTTTCACAATATATGTATATTTTACAGATCCACGAAGCCGGTTTTGACATTTTAGCAAATGAAGAGAGAACCATGACAGAGGCAGAAATGCAACTTTTCTATCAACACAAAGCTGGGGAGGTCAGCTCATCTGCTTCCACATGTCCGACACACTCTCATTTCTTTCTCTTTCTCCAACATTATGTTTATAGATTGATGTTAGTTTGGGAGAAAATCGAGTATTACGAAGAACAAGAATATGAACAGCAAGAAGGCCATGAATTTGCTCTCAGAATAATGATTATAGTCTGTATCAAGTAAAAAGTTCTTTGGTTGCAAGGAAGAGATTTTGATTCTAACTTAAGTAATGACATAAAGAATTTGTTAGAAGGATACTCCATAGCTTCCAGAACTGAAGAAGATAGTTGAAGGAGTTGAACAAGAAGGTGTTGGGAGAAGAACCAAAACAGTTGGGGCGCCTGGGTGGCTCAGTTGTTAAGCGTCTGCCTTTGGCTCAGGTCATGATCCCAGGGTCCTGGGATCGAGCCCCACACTGGGCTCCCTGCTCCATAGGAAGCCTGCTTCTCCCGCTCCCACTCCCCCTGCTTATGTTCCCTCTCTTGCTGTGTCTCTCTCTGTCAAATAAATAAAATCTTAAAAAAAAAAAAGAATCAAGACAGTTGTAGGGACCTTAGGAGCAGAATCCCATGAACAGTCACTTTAGGTGCTACTGTTGGACAACTCAGATTCAACCACTTTCCACGTGCTTCTGCTTCTGACTCCCCTACTTGGGACGGAGGCCTAGTGGACCTAGCTTGGTCATAGCCCCACCTCTTAGGTGAGGTGTGTGTGTTTGGTGGGGTTGGAGGGGATGGAGGGGCATCATGGTCGTCAGCCAGACTAGGCCAAGTGAAATGGGGAAGGGCTACTCCCCAAAGGAAAACCAGAGTACTGCTACTTCAAGCAGCGGGAAGGGTTGCAAGGCCTTGCAAAAAATAAGTCTTAGCTACATCGCACCCCATGGTTATCCGGCATCCACATGATTTCCACACACGTCCCTACCTAACTTGTTATAGTCTCTCACCCAACCCCAAACAAGTCAATTCAAAGCCTCATTTTCCTGCCTTTGCCTTTATCTGGGTTCTCTGGGTGTGGCTGGTCATCACCACCACCCCTCCCTGGGCCCTCCATGGGCAGGCTGGCCTGTGGCAAGGCTGCTCACTGAGCCCCTCCCTTCCTGAGGGTGGGATGGGCCCGCTGACCCACTATAGGCCCCAGGACCCCTGCCCTGGGTCACCGTTTCCTCTCCCTGTGCTAGGAGGCATTTGAGAAGCTGGTACATCACATGTGCAGTGGACCGAGCCACCTCCTGATCCTCACCAGGCCTGAGGGCCCGGAGGACGTGACCGCTGCCTGGCGAACGCTCATGGGGCCCTGTGACCCTGATGTGGCAAGGAGGGAGCAGCCTGACAGGTGATGTCACCAGCTGTGTTCTTTTCATTTATCTCAAAACCTGGGAATCCAAGAGCCCTGCTCTATATTCAGCCCCAAATTCCCCTTTTATGTATATTTGGAGAGACTCTGACCTCTTTGTTATCTATTTGAGGAGACCCTGCTATCTTCACCCTCTGATCCAGTCCTACAGTTAAGAGGGTTCCATAGTGTGGTCCCAGAAAACACATGCAACACTCATCCAGGAAATATGGATTGCAGGGCCCCCGGTAAAGTCTGCCAAGTCAGAGACTCTGGGCAGGGCCTAGGGATCTGCATTGTAGACTCAACTCTCTCCACTCTCCTCCCCACCCAGGGTGTTCTGAGGCCCCCTAGAGTCTGAGCACCTGGTTCTGCACTCTGCACTAGGCTGCCTTGGCCCTGTATTTAGCCTGGCATCACCAATGCCAAATTCACTGTGTCTTGCCTTTGAAGCTGAGAGAGCCCCAGCCACCAGGAAAGAAATGAGCAAGAGACTAAGTAATTGCAGTTGTACTCTGCAGTTGTAGGGGACCAGAATATTCATACATGGGACTAGTAAGACAGCCTAGGGTTTAGATCCTAGCTAACCACATACTTGGGTAAGTCCTTTCTCTGAGCCTCAGTTCTCAGTTCTGTAAAATGGGGTTATGACACCTATCCTGGGATGCCACTGAGTGTTGTTAAGAGCACTTCCTAGGGCCATTAATCTCTCTGTGCCTCAATGTCTTCATCTGAAAAATGGGTACTACAATGCCTCAGACATTGATGTGAGGATTAAATGAGCATATGTACTTACGTATGTATGTGTATATACGTATATATACATATGAAACACTTGGAACAGTGCTTGACAAAAAGGAAGCCCTGGCAATATTAGTATTATCTTATGCTGTTATTGAGGAATTAATGATGCACACTCTCGAGCTCCTGGCAGGGTGCTAGTCCCTGGTAGTGATAGCAACAAAATGGGAGCTCCCGAGCTTGCGCCGTGACTCGTGCGTATTTAAACTGAGAATCATGACAGAGTGTCCTTCACAGAGCTGTGGTGCAAATGAAACGGGATCATGTATGTGAAGTACCTGGCAACCTGCCCAGAACACCCAACATCACGATGGAATAGATGTCAGCTACTGTCCTTGTTGTTCTTGGCATTTCCAACGGAGAGAAAGCCATTTCACAGAAATGCGGGGTGCTAACTGGTTGCTGGTGCCCGTTGCCGGAGAGCAAAATGTTTCTTTGCAAATGAAACGATTGTTTCTTGTGCATTTTACCTATGTTCGCAGTCTCCGTGCTCAGTTCGGCACAGAAATGCCCTTTAACGCAGTCCACGGAAGCCAGGAGAGAGACGCCGCCAGCCGGGAACTGGCATTGCTCTTCCCCACATTTAAGTTTGCAGATGAAGTTCTAGAAGCCTCTCTGGGTAAGTCATCAAGGCCATTTTGGTTCTTTATTAAATCTGCAGTGAGTATTTGGCAGGGGTTGATAATAACTATGTGGTAACTGAGTCTTCAATCTAAGAAGGTCCTATTTGAGAAAGAGGGGCCATTATATAACTTTTGTAGCAGTCCTGATCTGTTTTGTTTTCACAGAGTAATGATGTTGCTTTTTAATACTTCATTACCTTTTTTTTTTTTTTGCTGCCTTCTTACTTTGGAGTCATATTTTCATTGCAAAGTTACTTTGCATTTTCTTGTGGAAACCACTGGGAAAATGTAACTAGCTTTCTAGAACCCTGCTTCAAAGCCACTTAGAGGCCAGAGGTCACTTCCTCACTTCCTCTGTGCTTCACACACCCCACGCCAGGCCCTTGGTGGGGTTGCTGGGCAGTGGAGCATTATACAAAAGGGCCCTGAGCCTGCTGTGACTCTTGTGTCCCTCAGCTCCCACATTTTGGGTAAAGTGTGCTAGGTCATCTCCACCTCCAAATCTGGGTGAGAAACCCAAGGGGTCCAGAGTGCATGTGACTTACCCCACTCCATAAGAAGAACTAGGCCTGGCCTATGATGCTCCTGCTGCCGAGTTGGGTATCCGTGGTCTGAGCTTGAGGTGAGGTGGGAGGGGCCAGGGGGTGAGTATCCTGGGAAAAAGCAAAGGATGTGAGGGTAGGATTCCTGGGAGAAGGCTGCATGTAGATCTGAAATGGTAACAACACACTTGGGCACAAATGTTTGGGTTTTAATCAATATATTTACCTAAATGTTTGCTATGTTCACAGTTTCCTCAAGATCTGAATCCAGCTGAGTAAGAATAGGTGGCCTGAGGGCAATGGAAGATGGCACAGGAGCTGGCCCATGCCGGCCCTCATTTAATCCTTGTGGCTACCTGCTGCCAGCTGAGGGGCAAGCTGGGTGCGGCGGTGGGGTGTAGAGTAGAGAGAGCATGGGAAGTGTGGCGTTATAGGCATCAAAAAGACCCAGTTTGACTCATGCAAGTGCATGCTGTGGTTCTTCAAAGCCATTCCCCTGCTGGGAGGAAATCTCACTCTGGTGACCAGGGCCCGCTTTCCTCGAGGGACCTGCCCTCAGAGAGCGCTCCTGATGCATTTCCTTATGTGTCCAGGGTCATGGCACATCTTCCTCCTTTGGGGGGCGATTGGAGGCAAGTAGAATAACTCAGGGCCAAGTCTGGGGAAGGAGGAGAGTGGCCCGGCTGGGGAATACTCATCGGAGCTACTGAGGAGAGTGTTGGGAGATCGCGAGCCTGACGTTTGGGCCCCAGGTGATAATGAGCGAAGGGGACAGTTCCACCGGGGTCTGAGCCCAGACACATCCCAGGGATAAATACCCAGGCTCCTGAGAGCATGATTCTGAAGCAGGCTTGTCGGGGTGCTGATGTGCTGCTCATTTGTTTGATGTGTCAGTCCTCCTCAGGTGTCAGGAGCACAGTGTGCTTCCAACTTACCCATCACTGTCTCTGCTAAGGGTCAGGGCTCAAGGGCACTGGAGACAAGACCATCCTGGGTTTGAATCCTGGCTCCGCTAGTTGTCAGCTGAATAGCCTTGGGAAAGTTACCTTTCTGGGCCCCAGGTCCCTCATCTGTGAAATGGAGATATTGACAGACCCATTATTAGCCCCGTATGACAGACCCATTACTAGCCCCATAATAACATCTCCATAACAGGGATCTTCCTCACAGGGCTGTTGTGAAGATGGAAGGACACAAAGGATATTGAAGTTCTTAGCCTGGGGCCTGACACATATTAAGTCCTCAACAAATTACTCATTCTCCTGATTTTTTTTTTAAAGGTTTTATTTTTAAGTAATCTCTACACCCACCGTGGGGCTCGAACTCACAACCCCAAGATCGAGTCTCATGCTCCACCAACCAAGCCAGCCAGGTGCCCCTCATTCTCCTAATTTTTAATTCCTGGTCCGGAACACACGTATTAGGACCTTTCTCTGCTGTCCCTTCCACCCGGACCCCTCACTTCATTGTCTGTGATGTACTTAGATCCCCTTTTCCTGCTGTTTTGTGGATGGTGAGTGGGACAGAGGACGGGCACAGGGCTACGTTTCAGAAGTCCTGCAGAACATCTGTTGTCCCACAGGCCACGGGGCTGAAGGAGCGGCGGGTCCCACCGAGGCACGTCGATTCCCTGAGGACATGGACTGAGAGGCTGGGTTGCTCTTCCGGAGCATGTGACCAGGGGCAAGGCCACGAGATGAAATGTCAGTGCACTCGAATCAGCTGCACATAGGAAAGCTCCAGAATCGGAACTTACTCTTTTCAGCACCAATATTTTTTTGGTTTAGCTATGTCTCATGAACAATAAGAATAGTATATACTTTCTTGCCTTATTAAACAGTATATAGAATATATAGTTTTTTGCTTTTGTTTTTTGCTACCTCTGGGATTTTATAAAATAAATGGACATCCGTTATTTTACCCTGGCGTGATATGGTGACATCTCAGGGGATACTGAGTTACACAGGACAGAGTTGCCCCAAGAATAAATCTACTTTGTGGACTAAACAAGTTTAAAGTTCAAGTTGGTAACTATGAACTTGAAAACAGTGCAAAAAGATTGGCTATAACACTTCCAGGCATATGGATGTGGAGGCAGATAGAAATTGGCTTTAATCTTCCTGCTGCCTACCCAGTCACGGGGACAGTCCTGCAACGCTGCCCAGTTGGCCACCTGAGGTTCTCCATGAATCAGGCCATGTTCATAAAGAAATGCTTGGGAGTTACATTTGGAACCAGGGTTCATCTAATTTTCTTGATGCTCCCTCCCCGTTTCTTTGGTTTCTGATTCTGGCTACTGCCTAATTTTAAAGTCTGAGAGCTCCCAGTGGAGCCAAGTTGCCTCCAGCTTTCGCTACATCACCTGGTTGAGCCCATCCTTCCATGGCTGTGCCCTTGAGGTTGAAAATCTCACAGAAGGTTTTCAATAAAAAAGTAACTATTATTACCCCTGTGAACAGTAACATGGATAGCTACTCCCTCCTGCTAGTTTGCTCTTTGGTCCATTTGAAAATTCACTAAGCCCAGGCATCCAATTTCCTCTCTGAGGAAAAGGCTGTGTTCTACTCCCCAAGGCAAATGTTAGCGATTTCCTTTCATTTGCTGGTTTTCTCCAGAAGACTCTGCTCTATGACTTGAAGTTCTTTAAATGCGCAGTTAGCTCCCAGAAGACTGCTCTTCATGGGTGCATTACTCTTTATTCCAATGCTATGCTGGCACTGGGGACGGAAGGATGAGTCAGGCTGTGTGAAGTGGGGAGCAAGTCCTGTGACTCTGGGTGGGTGGCTGCATTCCCCATGACTGTCACCTTTAGATGCGAACATGCATGCCTGTTGTGTTCATTAGCATCTGTACTGACCTCCATGAGAAACAATGTACTCAGAGGGTCCCTCCCTGACGGGATGTCAGGAAAACTGAATCCACTGTTCCAGACCTCCAGATATTCAGCCCACCATGGGACTGTGCTCTTTCCTTTGTGAGTGGGCTCAAGAGGGGGATTCAATGCCTTGGAGGAGCAGGGGCATTAGAACCCTGCACCTCTTCTACACACACAGGTGTTGCGTGCCTCTGAATGAGCTACTTGGGGGTGCACCCAGCTGACCGCTATCTGATCTCCCCAGAAGCTGGGAAGCCAAGGATCTTCCACCAGTGGAGAGATGAGAAATGGTCTGCCCAAGGCCTCTGAAAGCAGTGGGGGGAGAGGAAGAGTAGGTGGCGGAACTGAGACTGTAGGGGTGATGCGTGTTGCTGTCTGTGATGACCTTTAAGCCTCCCCAGGAAGTAGCTGGGAGAGGGGAAGGCAGGAGGGGCACTAGAGGGGGAGAAGTGGGGACACATACTTTCCATCTATAACTTGGTAGAGCATTTCTTAGAGTCTGGAAGGTTCAAAGCAGAAGTAACAGAGGTGCGGGGGAGGGGGGGTGTTGGAGGAGAGAAGCTTCATGAGAGTGGCTAAAATGTCAGCCCACTCTGAGGATGGAACTCCTTAGCAGAGGCCCTGGGCCTGGCTTCCTACAATGGAAGCAAACCAGGGCATGCAGAATGGGTGCTGTTTTGGGCATTAAGACCTCTCAGCTCCTGGGTGTGAATGCCTGATAGGGTGGAAGGCAGGCCCCACTGCATGAAATAAAGAGGGTGGTTCCTTTCTAATGATTGGCTCTGGCTCTCCACTCAGCGAGAGGGCCGACTGCCCAGCAGAGCCAAGGCCAGGAGTCAGGGGGTGCATAAATATAGGGAGGAAAGGTGACTACGTAGGCCATGATGTGGCCCTTGAGGCAGGGGTTCCCAGTTTTCCCAGAAGCCAGGGCGTAAACCAAAACTACCCTCATGCTGGAAATGGACACAGGCCTCTCTGCCCAACAATCAGGAGAAATGTGCAAAGGAGCAGGACTGGGGCAGCACCAGCCCCTATCCCAGGTGGCAAGGTGTTGGGACCTCCTCCTGTCAGCTCTCCATTAGAATCTGGGGTCAGTCTCCCATTTCCCAGGTCTCACTTTCATGTTTGCCCTGTGGCAAGGGAATTCCCTCCCCTGCCAACCACCTCACCACCCCCGACGCTCTCTCCCCAACCTCCACGCTCTGGGGTAGATGTCCTTGGCTTTCTGTTTCTAGGGAGGTCAAGAGGGAAGAGGTGCTTCTCTACATTTTAGAGATGGGGAGAAGAGTGTGCAGTCCATGAAGAGCACCTGGGCATCCTTGCAAAGGGGAGCAGTGGCTTGTTGGGGCCGCTGGTCATCCGCCAAATTCTGGGCCTGAGGCCAGTGAGTAGTGGCAGTGGAAGTGTGGCGTACCTAAGGGGCTGAGGAGAGGATGGAGGCAGTGGACACAACACTGGGGAGGTCCTGGTGGCTGGGAGTGGCCACCTGTGAAAGGTCTGCTAGACTTCAGGAGGCCAAGGACAGGGGTTCCCAGGCTGCTGCAGATGCCCCTATAGCATAGCTGTAACTACCACAGGGCACTGGCCCCCACTCTGAAATGCAAAGTCACTCCCTGGCCTCTTATTCACCAAGAATCGTAAGTTCCAAAAGCCGGGACACATTATCTTCCAATGTTTCCTAATGTTCTAGACATTCGGAAAACAGACTCCTTTTTAGAAGTTGCCATGATTTTTTTCTTGGCTTTTATTAGCATGTGTTAAAATCATATTATCCAAACACTACCAGAAGAACATGTATTGTTCTGCATAAAGTGCTTAAGGAAAAAAAAATGCAACTTATTAAATTGGACATTCTTTTCTAGTTCATAAATTTTGGGTTACAATCAGGGCACAAAAGGAGAAACAGAATGCAGTATTAGAGAGAGCGAGAAGCTTAGTGAAGGACTCGGGTGGAGACAACAGACCACGCCCCATTCCTCCCACTTCCTTGCTGACTGAACACTGCACCTGCCTAAAGCAGCAAACAGCTTTGTTTTAATAAATACATTTTTCCTTCATTCAAATCAGAAAAGTTAATTATAGTAAAGCACTTTTTCTTTGACCATCTGTTTATAGCCACAGGCAAGATTTATCCACAGAGTTTAAGTGTGAAAGTGTTATTTCATTGGGCTTTCAGCTTTCTAATGCTATCTGGGTTCAAGATTGTCTCAGCAATTCATTATTGGTTTCCTTAATATTTACCTGGTATTTTTAAACACCAACTCTATAGTGTTTGTGTTAACAAATGCCAACCAAGGATATTTTCTCAGTACTAGAAGTGTCAATGAGTGGGCCTAAATAAGGCTTTATTCCCAATAAACTCAATTCTCTTTAAACTGGCCTTCTCACATTAGCACTCTGATGGCCGCACAAAACCCAAGTCCCCGTTGTGACAGATTTTTAAATTGGTGATGTTAAAAAAAAAAAAAATAACAACTTGGAAATCTCTGTGTTTGGATCTTGGGTGGTCATGTTGAGAACAGGAAAAATTGCATTAAATACACTTAAAAACATTCATTTGCAATCAAACATATTTAAATCCTCCAAGGAAGGTGCAGGCTGGTGATGGGGTGGCCTCGGTGTGCGCAACCCCATCAGGAGTGGCTGGTAGGCTTGGGACTCTGCCAGTGGCACACTCATGGCAAGCTTCTCCGCCACAGACCTCGATTCTGGGCCGCAATGCCTCTGAACTTCTGTTAGCAAAGGGAAAGGCAGGCTGGTTGTTCCTCCAAACAGTCAAGAGCAACCTCTGTGGAGTTCACCTTGAAGCTGCCCCAGAAGCTGGAGCCAGGTGCCAAGCTAAGGGCTGCAGAAGGGTGAAGGAGCACTGGTGGTACAAGAAGCCATCTTCCATCCTCTGGGGAGAGTCCCTTTCCCTCGCTCAAACTTCAGTGCTTTGGGCTTCATGCAGGAAAAGATCTCAGCCACATGTCTTACTCAAATTTTGATCTCATTTTACAAAAGCACACTGAATAGCAGTCCTGAGTGACTAGTAGAATTTTAGCTGAGTATAGCTAAGAGAAAAACAGCTTTCTAAACTATCCTGTTCTTCGCTTCTCTCTACAGAGGAGTCTGTAGAGCATTCTTTAGTTTCACAGTGATATATACTGTTTCAGGAAGCACAAGGTGATCAGACTTTGTTTCCAGGAAGTGATGACCTACTTTAGTTTGAGCATAAGGTTTCATGACTGGCTCTAAATCCTGCCAGATATCGCTACACCAGTGGCAGGATTTAGGGCTGCTGGGAGGCTCTTGGTGCCCAGTTCCTGCCAAGTGTAGCCTGCCAGAGTCAGGGCTGGGCTTTCACTATCAGTAGTTATATTTCCCCTTGATGGTTCAAAAATCCTATGGTGAATCTGTTGCCTCACTCCACTCCACCCTGTCCATCTGACTTGGAAGCCTGAGAGCTTATTGAATTAGGCTGAAAAGAGGCTCTGTACCTGCTGATATTGACGGCAGTAAGATGCTAGCTTACTATTTTGCACAGCACCATGTATCATGCCTGTTACTCCAGGCCAACTACAGCCAACCTTTTTGTTTGTTTTTTGTTTTTTTGTTTTTTTTTTATAAAGAAAATCTATGTAAGTTGAGGTTCAGAAATGCATATATTTTTTACTTACAAATATTCATCTGACCAAAATTCAACATAACCTTTATGGAACACTTAACAATTGTTTTGTTTTTAAAATAACATTTCATTCAAACTGTATATAATTCAGTAAAGTTTTTTATACAGCAAGCAATGCTTAAACCCTGGAAAATCTGTAGAAAAGAGATTTTCACACAAAATAAGAAAAGAAAAATTTGAGGTATCCCTCACATACGCACACACACATCCATTCATTCTGACCCATGTGCACACACACGCACACACACCTATGTGTGCAGAGACACATTCATTCTCACTCACAAAGTGGCTGCAGCATAGGCAAAAAATTGTAGGTCCAAAGGAAAATGATTGATTGTTCTAATAAAGAGTCCAGGTAGCTCAGAAAAAAAAAAACCAAAATAAAACACAATAGTCCTCTGAGGAAATTACTACCTCAAAAAAATGTTCTCAAGATGAATTTGAGATCTAAGCCTACCAAATTGCTTTTGCAAAACAGCTCCCTGCAGTCCAAGGTGACTTGTGCAAATAGAAGGAATCAAATGAGGCTAGTTCCTGTACTTCCTTGAACAAGGACGGGGGATGCTTGCAGGTGCCCGGGGCGCTCCCATCACGCCAGGTACTGCTGCAGTGCCATTTTTGCCCTGAAATCACAAAGTTCCTGTTAGCCATCCTCTCTGAAGTGTAATTAAGGCAAAAATCCTGTGGCTCAAAGATGGTAATGGGGGGGTAGTCTAAAAAGATCCCCAAAGGGAACTGCGGTGAGCCCAGCTGGGCGAATACCGTATGGGGCAGAGATCTGTGGTCAGCAGATAACTTCAAACCCATGCTGGCTACATTCCTCTTCCTGAGGTTCTCTTAGGAAGGGCTGCTCTTGTCCTTCCACCTGCTGCAGTGAATTCTAGTTTCCCTTTGTCACTGGCATTTGGCCACGATGGGTCTGGAATTCTTTACTTTCTCCTACTGCCATGCAGGTTTTTAGCTGGTGCTGCAGGACACTGGGGAGGACACTTAGGATTCTGGGAAGCTAAGAGGAAAACTGACCCAGGGAGAGGCCTTCAGGTGTTGATTAGAAGGTGCAGGGGGGGGGCCTAGTGCTCACAACCCAAGACTGTCTCATGGTTCAAATGCCTTCAAATTGAGGAAGGAGGTTATAGTTTCATCTCATTCTTCTCATCATGCCTGCGGACACTGACCTGGCATAGGAGGTAGGTTGTTAGGGTGGTTGGGGAAGAAGACAGCTAGTTGGAGAAGAAGAGATGTAATGTCTCATGACAGCCACACAGGATGGGTGCATCCTGATCCTTGTAAAAGGGTCGTCCTTTGAGCTGGGACTGAGGAGGCCTCCTTGACTACTCCAATCATGAGCTTGGTAAAGGTTCTCAAGAGGCTACAATTGTGGGAATTAGGAAGTCAAGTTTTAGCAATGGTCTCCCCTGCTAGGTTATAGAAAGAAATGGCTAAAATGTTCAGTTACTACTAGCTGATGAAAGTAAGCCAAGGTAGACTGGGCATGCAATATGTTGGATGCAAGTGCAGTCTCTATAGTGAAGTAATGGGTATGACCTACGGTTTTAAAAGTGGATACTAAGGGAAATGTTCTTGCAATTATCTAAGACTATATAGTCCAATCCATCAAAACGGAAAGCCCCATACAGATGGTCTCCAAGTTATAAGTGAGTTGGGTTCTACAAGGTCATTTTCCTACAGAAACAAGCTTATGAATGATGCCACAGGCTACCTCTTAATGATCATCTACCTCACCACACAGTCCCAAGACACTCTGAGCCTAAGGTGGAAAGGGCTGGTTGGCAATAGCTCATCTGTAAGTGTTTGAAAGTCAAAGGATCACAAAGCCTTAAAGACAGAAGGAACCTGAGAGATGTCTTCTTTAGGTAACAGACTAAAGGTTTTGACTAAATGAGAACTACCAATTCAGACTCCTTCTGAATCTTTCTCAGGGGCTACCTATGTTTGTTATATTAGACTTCAGAGACTGTAACCTTATTATCCTCCTGCTATCTCTTAATATCTAAGGAGTCTTTCAGTTGGATGGTTCTTGAGGCAAGATCATCTTTCCTTCGATGGACTTAGGCAGGGTAGCTCAAACCTTGATTCTTTTAACGTGGTTTAAGAACTGCTGAAAACTTATGTGCCATACAAATATGGGGAAACAGCACCAGACAGATCTAAACCATTGTAGGCCAGGGCTGAAACCTATTGTACATCCTGCTAGTGAGGCCTCTTTTAACGTTCCAGGTCATCCTAGAAATGATTTCGAGCACAACTATTTTCATTTCTGGACGAACATGAGAAAAGAAACCCAGGGAACGATGTGGCCCTCAACCAGGAGAGACGGGCTGACCGAGCTCACCGCTTAAGTCAGCAGCCGCTACTACCACTATGGAGGTGGAGGCACGGGTGCCAGTCCTCAAAGTACAGCTCAAATCCAGCCTTCGGCGAGTGCCTAGCTTTCAGTTGCCTTTGATGGGACACTCAGCTGAGCAGCAGCCTTGGGCCTCAATTATTTGGGGGATTTGTCTTCTTTAACCCACTGGATGGCAAGCTTCAGGGAGGCAGGGGCCCAGCCTGCTCTGTGTGCTCCAGAGTCGGGCACAGCCATTCACTTAAGGAGCAATTACCAAGTGCCTTTTCCCTTCAGTGGGGCAGACAAGCAAGCTGACAGCCATGACAACAGTGTGGTATGTCTTATGGGTGCTACAGGAGTCCCTGGCAGAAGGGGTCCCCTGACAAAGCCTAGGGTGGAGAATGGATCAGGCAAGATCTTCTGGAGAAGGTGACAACCTGATCTGAGTTGTGAAGGATAAATGGCCACTGTCCAGGCATTCTCTTCCCTTGCTTTCAGGACAACTGCTGTGCCTGGGTCTCTGCCTACTTCACTGGTCGTTCCTTCCTTTCCTTTGCTGGATCTTTTTCATTTACCTCTAAATGCTGGAGAGCTCCAGAGCATAGTCCTTAGCCTTCCTGTCTTCTTTCCTCTCTCTTCCTTTCCTTATGTGACTCTATCCAGCTCCATGGCTTTATATACCCTCCTAGTTTATACCCTCAGCCCCATTATCCTGAGAAGTCCCTTGGATATCTAATAGCATCCAAAACTTGGCATGTCCAAACAAGAACCCTCACTTCTCCCTACCCCAACCTCCTTCTCTTGTATTCCTCATTATCTTGGTAAATGGCAACACCCTATCCAGTTGCTCAGGCTAAAACTCTAGGCATTTTCCTTTCCTCTCTTTAATATCCTACATATTGAATCCCTGAGCAAATCCTGTTTTCTCTATCTTTAGATTAAATCCTGAATCTGACCACTTCTCAGTATTTCTACCACTGCCACCCTCATCTCTTACCTACAGGACTACAGTAGTCTTGAACTGCTCTCCCTGCTTCCGTTCTTGCCCAGGTGATTCTCTACAGAGCCACCAGAGTGATTTTATACAAATTCAAGTCAGATAGGGTCTCTTCTGCTCAAAACTCTCCAGTGACTTCCTATTAGACTCTGAATAAAATCCAAAGTCCTGACTATGGCCGACAAAGTTTTCCACTTGCTCCCTGGAGTGCACTTATTACCACCCTGCCCCTCATTTATTTTTCTGCAGCTCCACTGGCCTTCCTGTTGTTTCCTGAACATGCCAACCTTGTTCCTGCCTCAGAGCCTTGCACTCACTGTCCCCTCTGCCTGGAATACTATTCATTGGAACATCTGCCTGGCAGACTATCTCATTTCATCCAGGTCTTCGATCAAATGTCACATCCTCAGAGAGGCCTTTACTGGTTAATCTATCTGAGAAGAAACTTTCTTACTCTTCATTCCTTCACCTTGCTATTTTTCTTCATAGTACATCTCATGACCTGCTATCATATTACATATTCATTTGTCTGTCTTTTGTACTAGAATGTAAGTTCCACGAGGGCAAGGACTTCATCAATTTTATTCATCATTATATCTCCAATGCCTAAAACAGTCCCTGGTAGAGGTTAGTATTCAAAAAATATTTGCTGAATGAATGGGGAATTCAGAGGAGAGGGGTCTGGGATGGCAAACCAGATGGAACAGAATGTGTAAATGCGTGAAGATGTGACACTGCAAGAGGGCAGGTGTGTCTGGAGGACAGGTTGGGGGGGCATGAAAGCAAGCTGTAGAGTGAAGGCTGTGGTAGGAGGGAGTGTACACAGCCAGGAAGAACATTTTTGGCTATTTTGAAGGTAGAGGGATCTCTGATTATGATTTTGCCTCTCCCAGTAAATGGTGAAGACAGGAACCCCTCAGTGGTCATTGCCATATTCTCAGCAGCCGGGCCAGGCTTACACAAGGCAGGCGTTCAGTGAGATCTTGAGATAATGGATGTTTTTATTATTGGCCTTCCTTTCTATTTTAATGTCAAGAGAATGATCCCTGGATCCTCTCCAGATATACACTAAGATGGCTCAGGCTCATGTTAACTCACAGTAAGATGAGAATCTTTAATAATTTGCTAATTATTAGTTTCTTATTCAAAAGCCATACAGTTAGCTCATAGAAGATTAAGAAGGGAACTCAAGAATCTAAAAGATTTTAAGTTTGGCAACGTAAATTACTAAGCAAGCCAAACCCTTTCATAAAAGAATTCAACATACCCCAAAACAAGGTCCTTTTCCTTTGATACTCACTTGTCACAAAGGTTTGAATCTGGTGACTGACTCAGTTTGTGTAGAATATCTACGATGCCCATGTCTCGTAACTTATCCTGGCGTTCTTGTGAACCTAAGAGATTAAAGCTAACAGGTTACTGGGGACATGACCCAGGCAATTGCTCTCCTTGAGGTGCAATCAACAATCTAGAGCATTACCAGGGTCCTTTACTCCCCACCCTTCCATCCCCCTTATCCCCAATGAAGTTGGATTGCCTCATGCTTGGATCCTCTAACAACATTCTAACTGGTCTCTCTGCTCCTTGACCCTCTTTCTTGCAGTCCATCCTGGGTTCTGCTGATAGATTAATTTCCCCATGGACTACAGGGTCAAGGTCAGATTCCTCAGCCTGGCACAAGGCCCTCTGCCATTGGCCCCATCTTCATATCTTCTGTCTGGACATATCAAGTCAGACTCTTCCTACTCCAGACAGGTCTTATTTTTCCTTCTGTTCTCTTCCACCCTCCTCTGACCTCCCAGCACTTCCTGCTGCCTCTTGTTTAGCATGTGGCAGTTCCAACTTCATACTGCTCTGTCCTATCTTCCAACTAGACTAGGACCTCCTTGAGGGTGGCTCTGTTTCGCTGGCACCTGGATGGTACTTGGTCTCTAGGCCTATATGTTGAATCCAATTTTTCCTCCTTCCACTTTGTTCTAGACACAGCTGCTGGGTAGAGTAATCCTCTTGGAGTCTTTCCTTCCCATGAAGAAAATTTTGTGCCTGCAGTGACTCACTCATGCACTGAGCTCCTCTAGACCCAATGAACCAGAATCTCTAGGTGTAAAAACCATAAATCTGCATTTTAAAAAGTTCCCCAGGTGATTCTTATGCAATGAGCCCAGCACTGAGAACAACTGCTCTTCCATGTTTGCTACATTGGAATCACCTGGGAAATTAAAAAAAAACCAAAACCAAAACTTATGCCTGCAACCCGCCTCCCAGAAATTCTGATTAAATTGGTCTGGTGCAAAAATCCTCAGGTGAGTCTATTATGCAGTCAAGATGGAGGACCTCTGATTCACAGACGCTACCTTATAGACTGGCTGCTTCACTAGTCACAGTGTATTTCTCATTTCTCACCAAGGCACCCTCTTCCTCATTAAGCTTATATGCCTGTAACCCTTACAAGTGTCCCTCTGCACACAATGAAAGACCAATCTGCCCATCCACTCCCACCTCTCATCTTCTTCAAGTACATCCCCGTAACCTCCTCCTCAGCTCTCTCAAGGGCATGGACTGACACTTATTTCTCTAGGGTCTCCTTTACCCCCATCCTCTGTAATCTCCTGCAGTGTTGACTTCAAGGTGGGGCTCACTGTTAACTGTCCAGCCAACTCTGGCTAGTCCCATGGATTCTCATACCAAGGTTAACTTGAAAGAATGCTCAGGACCCACTGAGTGATGCCTGCATCTAGGATCTCAGGGACATCTGCTACCTTCCCTCCCATAATTGTCCTCAAAACAGATCTCACCAATCTCTTACCTTCCTCTTCATTCCATATGAGGTTTGATATACAAAACATAGCGGCAAGCTGCAGTTTCACATGTGAATGACCCTATTTGATGCAGAAAAAGAAAAAATATGGAGGCAATCTGATTTGAGGAATTTTTTTGGTAACATACCATAGGCAATTCCCATAGGCTAAAAGTGTGAAGCAGGGCCCTCAAACTCAAATGTCTTGAGGGGTCACAAAGTTAGTACTAATGGGTAAATTGGTTGTGCTAAAGACAAGAGAGAGTGGTGGGAAATTTGGTAAACTGGGGAGTGAAGACTTGCCAAAAGATATTCACATTCAAATTTTAGAAACCCTCTGACAGGCCAAACAAAACACCTTTAGGGCTGTAATTATAGTTTGCAATTTATCACTCTATCCATGCACACAAACTGGCATAGGACAGGTCTATGCTTTAGACTTAGGCTATGCTTGATCTACATCAGGAAACATTCAGGTCACCAATGGCCAATAAATAGGATGAATGTGGCTTTGGTATTCAGCTATTGATTATCTGATTCAAATTACTCTTATTTGGGGGGGTTGTCCCCCAAAACCTGAGTCTTTACTTGATTCATCTAATGTTTCTATTATTGTTAAAGAGCCTCCTATTCTTCTGAAACACAATTCTTATTTTTCTTTATGTACTAAAAGTACAACCACTTTTGCTTAAGTTGGATCATTTAGCCATATGGAGTGCTTTCTCCAACACAACAGAGGACCCAATTGTAAAACAATCTCTACAGATGATTTTCCTATTGCTCAGTTAAAAAAAAGTCCCCTGTACTTTTAAATAACATGCATTTCTAGGGAATTATCAGTGGCATAATATGCTCAACAGTTTCTTGGAGGATCAGACGGACTTATTTTGCCAAGTAGGACTATATTTCAACTACGCAGAGACAAGAAGTGGACGACATGGCTTTCTTCACTAGAATTCTACGGCTGGTGATTCTCTTTTCCTTTTACCTGCCAAGACTTTTAAAGAGATGCCCAGTCTGGGCTCCACAAAGACAAGACGGAACAAAATTTATCATTTGCTCTCAGCCTCAGGTCATGAATAGGGGGGATAAATGAACTTATACACAGTACAAAAATAAGTGTTTACAATGTGTAAGTTCATTCAATACATATTTTTTTGAGGAAACAAATTGCTGTGGAAAAAAGTGGAGAGTGGAGAGGTGGGAACATAATTTAGGTAGAGTGCACAGAAAAGATCTCTTTGAAGGAGGCAACACTTAAGCAGAGACTTAAAGGGTAGGAAGGTGCCAGCTGTGCAAAGAGCAAGGGCCTAGGGGCACTGAGAGGAAGGAAAAGTTCCTGAAAAGGTCTGAAGTACGAAGGAGCTGTAGAGCTCATTCATATTGAGAAGGTAAAGTGGAGCAACATTAGCTCAGGGAAGGAGGTGTGGCTAAACTGTGGGCCCTTCTGGGCCCTAGAGAAAGGACTTTAGATTTTGCTCTGAGTTGATAGGAAGCTCCTGAAGGATTTAAGCAGTGGAAAGTAAAGATCTGATTTACATTTCTAGAAGGTCACCCGGGCTGAAGGGATTGGATGACAATGCGGAAGTGTCTAGGAGGCTATTATGGTCAACCAGGCATGAGATGCCATGGCTTGGTCCAGGGTGAGGGCAGTGGTGATAGAAAGAAGCAAACAGAATCCAGATCACGTTTGGAGGAAGGGCTGACAGGACCTGCTGATAAATCGGATTAATGAGGTGAAAGAGCTGGAGAAATCATGATTGACTCCCAGGTTTGAGCAACAGAATAGATGGCAGAGCCACTGTACTGAGACAGGAAAGAACAGGAGAGAAGAAATTTAGGTTTAGGAGAGATATTTAAGAACTCATTTTTATTTTTATTTTTTTATTTTTTTTTAAGATTTTATTTATTTGACGGAGAGAGACACAGTGAGAGAGGGAACACAAGCAGGGGGAGTGGGAGAGGGAGAATCAGGCTTCCCACGGAGCAGGGAGCCTGATGTGGGGCTCGATCCCAGGACCCTGGGACCATGACCTGAGCTGAAGGCAGATGCTTAACGACTGAGCCACCCAGGCGCCCCAAGAACTCATTTTTAAACATCAACTTCAGGAAGCATCAGACAGGTGCATGGAGATGTAAAGTAGGCAGGAGGATATAGGAGTCCAGAGTTCAGAAGACAAATCTGGAAGTGTATCTTCCATGTGACCCTCTTACCTTGCTCCTCTACCCTCTACCCCCACTAAGAAAAGAACCAGCATCTGTAGAGCTGCAAGTACCATCATGAAAGCTCGTTGTCATGGCTTTTGAAAGGCCAGTAACCATTATTGTGGTTGTATTTTCTATTGATGATACTATGGAAAGTATAAATACTGTAATACCTATTCTATTTATCAAAACTGACTATTAGACCAGAACCCAGAAACCAAAAAAGCATATAGATGATAGTAAAAGGCATGGGAGTGGATGCGATTCTCCTAAACCAGTGGTTCTCAACTCTAGCTGTACATAAGAGCTGCCTGGGGAACTTTTATTTTTTTTTTAAGATTTTTTAAAGATTTTAATTTTTTAAAGATATGTATGTATGTATGTATATATGTATTTATTTATTTGAGAGAGACAGAGACAGTGACAGTGACAGAAAGCATGAGTGGGGAGAAGAGGGAGAAGCAGGCTCCCTGTTGAGCAGGGAGCCTGACGCGGGGCCCGATCCCAGGACCCTGGGATCATGACCTGAGCTGAAGGCAGATGCTTAACTGACTTAGCCACCCAGGTGCTCCAAGATTTTAATTTTTTAAAGATTTATTTATTTGAGGGGGAGAGAGAGTGTGAGGGAATGAGTGGGAGGAGGGGAAAAGGGAGAGGGAGAAGCAGACTCCCTGCTGAGCAGGGAGCACGATGAGGGGCTCAATCACAGGACCCTGGGATCATGACCTGAGTTGAAGGCAGATGCTTAAATGACTAAGCCACCCAGTCACCCTGCCTGGGGAACTTTTAAAAACCCTGATGCCCAGGCTATAACCCAGACCTATTAAATCAGAATCTTGAAAGGAAACGGACAATGCAACCATCTCTGAAAGCTCCCTGGAAAATGCCATTGTGCAACAAAGATCACAGACCTCAGGAGACCATGTAGGAGAGAAAAGAAGAGGGACTAGGGCTAAGCAGGGAGGGATAGTGTATTGAAAGCCAAGAGAAAGGAATGTTTCTAGGAGGAGGAAATGGTCAGCTGAGTTGAAGGCTGCTGTAAGTGAGGTGAGATTAGGAGAGAAAATGGTCCTTTGGATTTGGCATCCTGGAGGTCGCTGGAGACCTTAAGCAGAGATGTTTCAGCTGAGCGATGACAGTGGAGGCCAGATGAAATGGGTTAGAATAAATTTAAAGGTGAAGAAGGAGATAGCATGTGCAGAAGATGCTTTTAAGAAGTCTGGCTATGAAAAGCAGCACAAAAATAGGTATATCTCAGTGGATATGGGAAATCAAGAGTAACTTTGAAAAGATTAGAGATGCTATGTAGATCTGGGATTGGAAAGATAAGGGAGTTCCTGGTTGAAGCAGTAAGGTTTTCATTCAACATTTACTGAGCACATACTAAATGCCAGGCATCGTCCAAGGTGACAGATATAAAAATGTACACAAAACACATGGAGCTTTGCCCTCATGGAACTTACACTCAGGCACACAAACACATGTGTATCACTATAATTGAGCTACTGCTCTGAAGGGAACAGAATGCAGTAACAAAGAATAACCCACATAGATAAGAGCCCACGAGGAAGTATCAGTTGAGCTCAGATCTGAGAGGTGAGAAGGCATGCCATGAAGGAGTGGGGGAGAAAAGTGTTCCAGGGAGGTGAGCCAGCATGTGCAAAGGTCCCGAGGCAGGAAAGAACACGCATGGCCTTTCCACGGAACAGGAGGTCAATGTAATCCACAAAGGAAAGGGTAATGACAGGATTTGGGACACGGATGAGTCAGGTCATGCAGGATTTCACAGGCCATCACAAGGGGGATATGGATGTTATTCAAGGTGCAAAAGGGAGCCACTAAAGGACTGTGGCTTCTATTCTCTTAACAAAACAAAAGGTGAGGTCACCACTAAGAGTGATGAGGGAGAGAAAAGACTTAAACGAGGAGCTGACACCTCCTCATGGAGAAGGGAGGTGTCAGCTTGCTGGAGAATCACAAGGGGGTAGTAGGCGGTGTAAACAGGAAATTAACACGATACCAATCAGCCTGGTTCTGTGCCTTTCTCTGCAGTTGCTGACTCTGACAGGCAGGCAAAAAGAAGACAGGTTCACCCACAGCTGGGGTTTTGCTATGAGACACTGACAGAATGAAAATATTGCCAGGTTTGGCAATGGGCAGTTTCTGGTGATGACAAGATTCATGGGATGGCCGTGGCAATAGGTGGCTTAGGTGTCTGCAAGTAGGTAGCAGTCTGTGTTTGCAAGCGAAGAGGTCAAAGAACAAGTGCCAGAGATGCCAGAGGCTTAAGAGGTCATGCACATCGGAGAGAAGCCTTGAGAGGGAAGACAGGGATTTGGACGCCCTGGAAGAAAACCAAGAGCCGATGTCTTCGCTGATTAAGGAGGCAATCAGGAAACAATGAAGGTGGGGAGTGGGGTGATGAATGGGTGGTAGTACTGCCCAAATGGCACAAGCTTCAAGGCCTTCGTGTCTGTGTTTTTCTTCAGAATGAAAGAGAGTTCCCTGAATCTGTGACAGAGTAGTCTATTCTTTTTTAAAATCTCTGCACAATTTGTTTTGAGCCTCCTAATGCAGCTACTACAGAGCAGTGAAAGGGACAAAGGCCTACCATGTAATACTTGATTTTCTGCAGGATGTCATCATTGGTCATAATAAGTTCTTTTGCTGTTGTCCCATCTGCTATGTTGGCTAAGATGCACAGTGTCTGGAAAAGAACAAAGGGCCGGTGATCAGGAAAGCTCTGAAGTCCTCAGATGCAAGCTCTCTCAAGAACTTGGGTAATTTCCATCTGAAGTACATGGATTCTCACAGGTTCTACTCTGAATGCTCTGATTTCTTATCTCCTGACATTACTGCCAACAAAAGTAACCACACTTAACAAAAGTCCACCTTAGGCAAAAGAGAACCCAAACATTTCAGTAGTTTCTTTTGGGGCATAAGCCATCACTGGGTAAAGGCAGCCATGTCTTACATCAAAGGGAAAATGTGAATTGTTATTATTTCATTTCTAAGATAAGCTCTTGTTACTAACCCAACAATGTTTCTTCAAAAGCGTAGTCTCTTTGGTGGAAGCATCATAGGTGCTGCAACTTCCCTCCCTCCCCCTCCAAATACTTCTTGCTCCCAAGCTCATGACCTTCTGGGTGAAGGCCTGGACGCTGGTCCACTAGCCATGTGCATTTAGGACTTCTTGACTTTTTAAAACCTGATTAGAGGAACAGAAAGGTAAGGAAAATGTGTGAAGCTTAGTCGAGCCTGGCCTAATGAGACTGGAGGGAGACCGTAACACTTGGCAGGACAGTGTAACTTGAAGATAATCACCACACTGGTACTGGAAGGACTTTCTTATCAGCTGTTGGGAATCTCACAGCCAGACCAGGAGGAGGGCAATGTTTAGAGTAATGGTGAAAGGACTGTGGAAAGGAAACTGAGCCCGTGCCAGTCTCTGCAATTCAACAAACATTTACTGAGCACCTACAATGTGCATGCACTCTGCAGGGCATTAGGGTCAGACAGGAATAAGACACACTACCTAATCTTGAAGCGGTCACACAATTACATTTCACTGTGGTGTGACAGAGGAAAAACAGGACCGAAAAGGCATGAAGTACACTTGCTTGATACTGCAAAGGTCAGGGAAGGCTTCTTGGAGGAAGCGACACTGAGCCCTGGAGAACAGTAAGGAACCACTCAAAGAAAGTGATCAGAAGTGGGAATGGGGTCTAAATTCAAGTAATTTTCTCCAAACTTAACCTTTCTTTTGGTAGACTTAAGCAAATTAAGCTTGCAGATTATAGCTAATTGACGAGATTGTTTTCTTCCTATGGCCTGAGGCTTCAAACATAAAGAGTGTGTAGTCTTATTCTTCCTAGATTAATATACTGATTAAGAAGTGAGTCCTGAGGTTTGAACCAAAAAAAAAAAAAAAAAAAAGAAAAAAAAAGAGGCTGCGTCTGGGAAGAGGAGGGAGTGACAAACATCTTTAGCCTCATCTAGGGAAGAGCTACCCCTCTCTTAACCACTAATACAGAATATGAAGGGGATTTCATGAAATATTTCTGAGAATAGACTTGTTCAGCAAGATAGGCAAGTGATTCCCCTTCTTGGAGTGTTAGAATATACCCATGCATCCTCAGGCTTGAACAGCATGGCAGCGCGAGCTACAGTTCTGTTTTAAAGCCCCACAAATGTTAGAGATCAATTAGTTCTTGGGCCAAGCCAATTTAACATATAAGCTAGGGAGCAGAGAGAAAAGCTACACACACACACACACACACACACACTTACTCATGTGAACAACTGGAAATTAATGATAGAGTAGGGAGTAGGGATAGGCAAATTATGGCCTGTGGACCAAATCCAACCCACTCCCTGTGTGGTAAATAGAATGTTATTGGAAGATGGCCATGTCTACTTGCTTACATATTGTCTATACCTGCTTTCAGGCTAGCACAGCACAGTTGAGTAGTTGCCACAGAGCCTGAATGGCCTACAAACTTAAAATATCTATCCTGCCCTGAAATAGAGAAATAGAAAAGTAACAGGGGAAAAAAAATATCAATGAAACCAAAAGCTGCTTCTCTGAAAAGATAAAAAAAAACAACAACTGATAAACCTCTAGCCAGACTGATGAGGGGAAAAAGGAATTATCAATAAAAAGAACAAAAGAGGGGATATTACAAAGAATGCTACAGACTTTAAAAAGATAATGAGAATATTATGAAGAATTTTATGTTAATAAATGTGAAAAAGATGAAATGGACAAATTCTTGAAGGACACAAAATACCAAAGCTGACACAAGAAGAAATCGATAATCTGACTACTCCTATTTCCATAAAAGAAACAGAATTTAGCTATACACCCTTCCACAAAAGAGACACCAGGTTCCAGATGGCTTCACTGGTACATTCTACCAAAATTTAAGAAAGAAAGAATACCAATGCTTCACAAATTCTTACAGAAAACTGAGGAGGGAATACCTTCACCTCATTCCCTGAGGCAAGCATTATCTCAATAATCAAATATCAATATCAAAACCAAACAAGGACATCACAAGAAAACTATACATCAGTATCTCGCATGAATATAATTCCTTACCAAATTTCAGTAAATCAAATCCAACAACGTATGTAAAGGATAATACATAATGACATTTTAATATGGTATATCTCTCTATTTATTTAGGTCTTTGATTTATCAGTGTTTTGTTTCAGCACAGAGATCCTGCACATATTTTATGAGATTTATACATAAGTATTTCATTTTTTCTGAGCTACTATAAATGGTACTGTTTTTAAAATTTCAAATTCTACTTGTTCATGCTAGCATATTAAAAATACAATTGATTTTTATATCTTGTGGCCTTGGCTAATTCATTGATTAGTTCTAGCTTTTTCTGATGAGTCCATGGCATTTTCTACATAGGCATTCATGTTGTCTGGGAATAGTTTTATTTCTTCTTTTCCAATTTATATGCCTTTTCTTTTTCTTGTCTTATTGCACTTGGTAGCAACTCCAATATGCTGCTGAATAAGACTGGTAACAATGGACATATTTGTCTTTTTCCCAATATAAGGACAGTGACAGATAAGTTCACTATCTTGATTGTGGGGATCATTTCATGGTATATACATATGTCAACATATCACAGTATATATTTTATTTTTTTTTATTTTTTAATTTTTTTTAAAGATTTTATTTATTTGACAGAGAGCGACAGCGAGAGCAGGAACACAAGCAGGGGGAGTGGGAGAGGGAGAAGCAGGCTTCCCGCCGAGCAGGGAGCCCGATGTGGGACTCGATCCCGGGACTCCGGGATCATGACCTGAGCCGAAGGCAGACGCTTAACGACTGAGCCACCCAGGCGCCCCACAGTATATATTTTAAATATATGTAGCTTACTGTATGTCAACATACCTCAAGAAAAAAAACGCTGAATTATCAGAAGTGTCTGAGAAGAACTAAACTTCCAGCTAACAACCAGACAGTGTAAGCCTCCCCATCATCACCTACTTCTGGACCATCACCAAAATCTGTACGAAAGCGTGTAATTTGAATCCTGTCAGAACACATTACTGTTATTGGCCTTTTTTTTTTTTTTGCCCTCATCCAAATCTTGCCTCACCTTTTTGCCTTGCTTCACTTTTCAAGTTAGCAGAATTCTATCTAGGTGAGCTGTCTTTATAGACAAAATTCATTCCTATGCTCTTCAGGTAAAATAGTTTAAGTAAAATAGCTGGGCGTGGAGCCTGACACGGGGCTTGAACTCACTTCCCTGACATTGAGACCAGGAGCCCCCAGGTGAATAGTTTATTTTGAGCAATGCATCTTCTTCATTGTTGTGTGCCAGTAATGGATCATGTTCAACCTAGTTTTAGTGATGCCTGAGATGATAGTTTCTCTGTGTTAAATTTTTGTTCACCAGAAAATATGGTTGTTTATTATTGAATTTTAAGAGAAATCACCTAAAATGTCCATCTTAAAACCACTTTGTCAAATCTACTGCCTTTTTTGCTCATAAATTCAATTATAGCTCCTATATCCTACCATTCTTACTTCTTGGACTGTTCTTCTGAAGCCTGCAGAATTACTCTAATTCAGGAACACAGAAAATGCAGAGCATGGGCCTGCAGTTAGACCCTAGGTTCAACTCCCCACTGATGACCTTGGGCAAGTTTCCTCCACACATATAAATATACAGCACAATGAATTTTGAAGTGAACACATCATGTAGCTAACATCTATGTCAGAAAGTTGAACATTACCATTGCCTCAGATCTTGTATTAGAAATTTAAGTTTATAGGTGACCTTTCTTTTTATGACAAAACATACACTATGTAAAAATTCTATACTAAATCCCAGAAAATATACAAAAGTAATTCTAAAACTGTCCCCTGATGAGCGCACAGCCTCTGTATTTTTATGCCTATCCTAAATCTGCCCTACTGCAAGACAACAGAAAGTAGAAGTATGGGATAGAAATAAAGAACAAGGATACATTAGAGTAAAAAAATGAAAAACGACTCCAGCATAAGGAATTATTTTATCAGGGTGTTGCAGGAATTTGAGTTCAGAGCATGGTGGATACAGAAAGCTGGAAACGATGAATCCAAGAGTGGACTCAGTCTAGGATGATCAAAGGTTACACTCCCTATGGAGACAGGGACAGTGTGTACAGTGCATGTCACAAAGGGTGAAACTATAGACTCTGGTAATATTTTCTTCTATTCCGGGAGGAAGAATTCTTGAATAGTTTCAGGGGTGGTGGAGGATCTTTCTCCTCAAATCTTTCTTGTCTCTATAGCACCTTCCATCTCAGCACTGTGTCTTTTGCAGATTTGAGTATTTCAGGAGACTCCTAATGAAGATCCTTTTTGGTATTCACACTCAGAAGATATTTCTCAGAAAAAAAAAAAATTAATAATAAAAAAAAGGGAACACATACCTGCTCTTTGACCTCAATGTTATGCTCCCCTTCCAGAATAAGGGTAACGGCTTGCATAATTTGCTTTCCATGAGTACTCATTATTTTATCTATATGCTGCAAAAACAATGGGAAATCCACAGTTATCATCTGGGGAACAAAGAAAAAGATCACAGAAAGGAACAGAAAGCTTCTCAGTTAAACAATATAATACACAACTGCTTGAAAGAGAACACCATAGCATACAGAACTAGATGCCAAAGAATAGTGTTTATTATAGCATAAAACTGCATTTTGCCTTCTATGTATGTGTCTGTGTATGTATGAGTGTGTGTGTGTGTGTGTGTGTTTATTTATGACTTGAAGTTTAAAAATGACTTGGCCTGATAGAATACAGAACTACAATCACTGGGGATCCTCAAGTCCAAAGATATTACAGAAAAAGGAACTTAAAAATGGATGGGGAAGAGAAGCCAGAGACATGGAAAATATGGCACAGATTTACTAATACTCTGGGATACAAATGTACAAAGAAGGCTCAGAAAACAAGTGAAGCACAAAGGAACTATCCATGTTTCTTCATCGACCTAAAGGCCACTGACACTGTTGCTCAGGGAACAATGAGAGGGACCCCAGAAAAAGGCTCAGCCTCTCCTGCTTTGACATATACCCACTGTTCTCCACACTGACATCTTCAGAGGTCAATCCAGTAAATGTTGGCAGTGTGGGGATTGGTCTATGGAATAACACTGAGAAGGATTCTCTAAAGGGAAAGAAGCAGAGGCCCCAGGGTAAGTGATTTAGGCATATGAGAAAACCCATTCTGGCCAGCAAACCAAGTAAGAATAAAGTAACAAATCAAGGCAGGCTCATATCCAGCATGGAGTAAGGAGAGGGAGACAGAACAGGCAGTGCAGGAGTGGGTCAGGTAGCTATATGGTAAAGCAGCTCCCAGATCACCTATGAAGGTGACAGGTCTAGATATCGACTTCTCACTTCTTTGGGAAGGGACAGCATTTGAATCACACTTCTGGGCAGATGTTGATGGGAGAAGTGAGGGAGGGCAATGTTTTACACTGCATATGCAGGGGCAGCTAATGTGGAAACCTGGATGATTTTACTTACAGGCCGAGTAGAAAGGAGATTTCTAAGAAGTCCCAATGTTTTCATCAGCACATTCAAATCTGAATCTGATAATAACCGGAATAGCTGTTCAGTACTCAAGCTTCGTAAAATATCTGCTTTTATTTTTTGTTCAGCCTGGAATGCCATATTCTGAAAGGATTAAAGAAGTTTCAAAAATCATGTTTGCTTTATTAAATTATATTTTGATAGTAACTGACAATTTTCAAAGTATAAACAGAAGTTGCAGATAATTTAAGTCATATTATTTTTCTGATTCCTGTTAATTACCTATAATTCTGCCTATCAAGAGAAAGATAACCATCTCCTATATATACTCCTGTATAAGGAATATGACCACTTCCTGATACGGCATTTGAGCCTCTTAAGATTTGTCCAATAAATACAAAATCTACTGTTTCTTTTAAAAAATTATTTGATTTAAACTGAAAAAAAAATAAAACAACAATAAAAAAACAAAACTTTTAAAAAACAAACCCAAAAAACAAAACCCAAACGAAAAAACAGTTCACTCATTTCTCCTACCCCCCATCCCCTACCTCTGGTAACCACTGATCTGTTATCTGTAACTATGAGCTTGGTTACTTTTCAGAAATGTTTTTGGTTATCAAGTTGCCTTCTGTGCACCATTTTCTTTTTTAAAGTAGGCTCCACACCCAGTGTGGAGCCCAGTGTGGGGCTTGAACTCATGACCCTGAGATTAAGACTTGAGCTGAGATCAAGAGTCAGATGCTTGACCCATTAAGCCAGCCCGACACCCCGCCTCTGTGTACTTTAATAACAAAATTACTACTAATAACTACACCGTGCCACCCATTTTGAGAATGACTAAAAAGCACTCCCTTATTATGGGTGGAAATTAGTGGGTTTTGTTAACTTTACTGGCACAGAAACACCTACTGTATTCACAATACTATGCTGGGTGTTGATATGGCAGGTCTATATTATACAGGAAGCTCCCCAAAGGGTAGGAGGTGCATCTAAGCTACTAGGAACCCCAGAGGGCTGGTATCTATTTTGCTCCTTTTTCTCCTTTCTGGACACATTATAGATTACCCAAGCTTAACCTGAAGCTATAATAACACATCTGAAGAAAATAAAAACACAGCAAATGCCAAATAACTCATAAATCAACTCTTGGTATAAAAATCTTTTGTATACTTGAGACTTACTATAATATGTGGTCATTGCCCTACAGGAACTTTTTTTTCTTTAAAGATTGTATTTATTTATTTGAGAGAGAGAGAGAAAACACAAGTGTGAGTGGGGGGAGGGGCAGAGGGAGAAGGAGAGAGAATCTCAAGCTGATTCCTTGCTGAGCACGGAGCCCGAGGTGGGGCTCAATCTCATACCCTGAGATCATGACCTGAGCCGAAATCAAGAGTAGGACGCTTAAAAGACTGAGCCACCCAGGTGCCCCCAGGCTTATTTTTAAAATTGAGGAGCTAAACCATGCAAAAGATCAAGTTATCTAATGATGTGAGGCAGCATGACAGAGAGAAAAGAGAGTATTGACTGGGCTGGTGTCAAGAGACCCAAGCCAAAAATGATTCCATGGTTCCACGGTTTTATACTTGGTGGACAGAGAAGAAAGCAGCTGGTTATATGGTGACTAATGAGAATAAGATAGTTAATATGGATTTGAGGGTGGTATGATAAGTTTAATTTTCAACAATAAAATTGTACACGTCAGGGAGGCCTTTTTTTTTTTTTTTAAAGATTTTATTTATTTATTTGACAGAGAGAGACACAGCGGGAGAGGGAACACAAGCAGGGGGAGTGGGAGAGGGAGAAGCAGGCTTCCCGCGGAGCAGGGAGCCCGATGCGGGGCTCAATCCCAGGACCCTGGGATCCTGACCTGAGCTGAAGGCAGACGCTTAACGACTGAGCCACCCAGGCGCCCAGGGAGGCCTTAAATGAAGTCTCATAGGCCATTTAAGTAACAGACCTGGGTGGGATATAGGGAACAATTATGTCTGGGTATGTATATCGCAAAGTAACTTCTAGTAAGGGGAGCTGAAACCATGAGAGTAGATGAAGTCCCTGAAACTGAAGTGTAAAGGGAATTGGAAACTGGGAATTGAAAATGGGGAAATATTCCCTGAGAAGGAGGTTGAAAAGGGGGCTAGGTAGAAAATGAGGTTAAAAAAAAAAAAAAAAAATTAACTCCTGGGAAAGAGTTTCAAGAAAGAGAAATGCTAAAAGCTGGCACAAAGTTTAGGAGAAAAATAACTGAAACTACTCGATTTGGTGCTTTTTTAGAAAATGATTATTTCTATCCCAAATTTGTGTGAAAAGACAACAGGTATACATGGAACAGGGTAAAGCATATGGGCTTGAAACAGGTTCAGAATCCACTGTCATCACTTATTAGCTGTGACACCTTGGATGATTCATTTACCCTCCAAGCCCCAGGTTCCCAATTGCGAATTGGATATAAACCAATATAACTTAAAATAAGAATTAGAGATAACAATTAGAGATAAACACATTGCTTAGTGTCTGGTACATACTAATCAAATTATAACTACTATAATTACATTTGAAGAAATCCATGTAAATTTTAATTTCAATATATTTTAATAAATCTTAAGTTACATAGTTTTGACTTCATAGTTATATAGTTTTATAATTTACATTATTATAAATTATTTACTTGAAATTGTTAAGAAATTATTAAGTAATTATGCATCAGTTCTGTTGCCCTGGGCAAGTTATTTAATCACCCTGTGCATAGTTTACTCATCTGTAAAATATGAATACTCCCTAGCTTATTTCAGAATTGTTATAAAGAGCACAGAAGACATGAAATGGCTCTATCAAGCAGATATCTCTAGGCAGGTTATCAATATATTCATGACAAGGAAAATTTGTTTTTCCCAAATTAGATGTCCACTTTTAACACCTGTCTGCTTTTCTTTAATAATAAACAAGAGAACTGTGGCACACAGTGGCCACATAACTTGCTTATATTCAAATCCAAAAGCTGAATACTAAGTCTTCTACGTCTGAGGTCATTAGAAAACTGAGCCAAAATAGCAACATTTATTAAAAAGCAAATTTCAGGGGCGCCTGGGTGGCTCAGTCGGTTAAGCACCTGCCTTCGGCTTGGATCGCGATCCCAAGGCCTGGGATCGAGCCCCGCGTCGGGCTCCTTACTCAGCGGGGAACCTGCTTCTCCCTCTGCCTTCTGGCCCCCTCCTGCTTGTTCTCCCTCTCTCTCTGACAAATAAATAAAATCTTTAAAATAAATAAATAAAAAGCAAATTTCAGACACTTCAAATAACACATTCTTTAGTTTTAACTTTGATAACAGCTCCATTCTCTTTACAAATGACGACTTATATAAAAGAGTAAAACATACCATTAAAGCCCAAATTCCATTCACTCGCAAAGCGGGATTTTCACTTTGCGTTAATCCACAAAGCAGTTCTACAGCTCCAGATTCTAAAATTGGCTGTGATTGGAAAAAAAGCAGTTTTAAAGTCAGGTTTGTGACTAAATGTGCGTATACCCTGGCGCTCTGCTTATGATTTCCTTCCTACTCTCACCCAACTCCAGGAAATTTTTGTATAGCAGGGAGTCAGGTGGACATAAAAATTACCACAAAAAGGGCAAGAACAATTAGGTCTTTCACAAATTCAAAAGCCAAAATAGTCCTAGTAATTTCTCTTTTCTTTGTAGCTCTGAAAGACTCAGGAGCTGTCCTAATTTCTGTACATTCTGCACATGCCCTTATAATTCCACTATCTACTTCCACACTCTCCTAACCGTCCTTTGAGACACTCACTTCCTGCATGGTGCACGGGTGTATCCCTTGTGTCCTTTACAAGCTGGGACTATGACAACATAGCTGGTTTACATGGAACTTACAAACCAAACTATCTTCTTTCCAAACTGTCAATGTTATTCAAAACATGCTGCAGAACTTTCAGGACTGACTATCTATCAATTCTACAAGCAAAACAGTTGTATACTTTTATAGTCCTATCACATTCTCCACCTAAAATAGCATGCTTTAGCCTGACCACTCATTTTATTTATGATCCTTGGCTGAAAACAGGGTTTGATAATTTCTAAAAAATTCACACCTTTGAGGACTGATCTACTGTCACCAATGAATGTTTAAAAGGCCCCCTTTCAAGTGGACTCTAGAACTGTCTTAAGCAGTTCAGACTTACATAGGGAGAAAAAGAGCAGTGACTTTCACGGTGACATTTTGAAGGATATACATTCCTCTACTTGTACAAATTGATTTTGTTTCTTTTTAAAAATTTCTTCTTTGAGTATAGTTGACACACAATGTTACATTAGTTTCAGATGTACAACATAATGATTTGACAGGTTTATACATTATGCTACGCTCACCACAAGTGTCTGCTACCATGTATCACCACCATACAGTGCTATTACAATCCGTTATTCCCCAAACCTACTCACCATTCCATAACAGGAAGCCTGTATCTCCCTCTCCCTTTCATCCATTTTTGCCCATCTCCCCACCTCCTGTTTTGGTTTTTGTTCTTTTGAAGTAAGTTCAAACTTAGGAAGTAGCAAGAATAAATGTAAGGTGCTTCTACCACATATTCTTTTCCCAGACCCAACAATTTTTAACATTTTGCCGTATTTATCATTATCTCCTTCTGTATGCCCGTATCCACATTCTTCATCTTTTTCTGAACCATTTGAAAGTAGAACATATACATCATGCCCCTTTGCCCTTAATACTTCAATGTGTATTTCCTAAGAACAAGGATATTCTCTTAGAATCACAGAACAGTTACCAAATTCAGAGAAGTTAGCTTTAAAACAATACTTTTATCAAATCTATAGCCCATATCCCAATTTTGTCAACTGGAGTAATAAGTGCTTTTATAGCATTTCCTTCCCTTCCAGTTCAGGATCCAGTTTATTTTTAATACAAAAAAATCAATCATATTATTGACCCTACGTCTGAGCTCATCTACCTTAACTTCTAACCAGACCCTATCTATATATGCTGAAAGTGGATCTGAGGCAATATGAGTGCTGTTCAGGGTGATTAATGGTATAGTACTGACTGCAACCAGATCATCATCATGCCAAGACCCCAACCACCAGAGCAGAGGAAAACAGATGGAAACTCTGGCATCCTGTCTCGACTTTCTCTTCCTTCAGAGTAACTACCAGTCTTTCCCCTTTTGTTCCAAGATTTCTGCTTTTTGAATAACTGTCTCTGAACCTCCACCTTGTTACTAAATGCTTTCCTAATTACCAGTCAGAAGCTTACAGGTGTTACAATGCTAAAAGGAAATTCAACCAAAATGGAATTACTAAATAAAGGACAGTGTCTAAACCTCAGCTCACGATTGGGCAGACCAGAGATATTTTAACATGATGAAATGAACTCTATAAGGTTCCCTCCCTCCTTTATTAAAGTGTATTGTAGTTTTCCCTAGTATATAAACAATACATGTTCAAATAAATTTATAAAATGTATAAAGGGAAAAAATATTCCCACACCTAATCCCTCCCCAAACAACTACGATTAACATTAAACATTAAAAAGATTATTTTCCTGGGCACCTGGGTGGCACAGTCAGTTAAGCATCTGACTCTTGATTTCGGCTCAGGTCATGATCTCAGGGTTGTGGACTGAGCCCTACGTTGGGCTCTGTGATCAGTGTGGAGCCTGCTTAGGATTCTCTCTCTCCCTCTCCGTCTGCCCCTCCCCTCCCCCTCTCTCCACCCCCCCTTAAAAAAAAAAAAAGGTAAAAAGATTATTTTCCAGCAGTAATCTCCCTGAAATGACTTACAATCCTGGTTTATAATTGATCCTTAATTTATTCTTTAGTATATACAGTTTGAAAATAATCTATTCTTTTGTAATTAGATTTGTAGTTGTAGGCAGTTTAGATTAACTATAAGCTATAATATCCTTTAAATAAGTTGCACATGCCAGGCAGAAAAGGGAGAACAGGAAATTAAACCACATTTTAAAATTATTTTATTTGCACACACACCACCAAACAATTCAGAAGTAGTTCTTTTTTTTTTTTTTTTTTAAGATTTATTTATTTATTTGAGACAGAGAACAAACGGGGGATGGGCAGAGGGAGACGGAGAGAAACTCAAGCAGGCTCCCTGCGGAACTGACACTGGGCTGGATCCCACAATCGTGAGATCATGACCTTGAGTCACCCAGGCGCCCCCCTGCCCTGAAGTAGTTTTTACACCCCAATCCGGAAATTTCAAAGTCAACTACTGTGAAAATTATTTGACTAAGTTCTAGGTAGACTGGGCAAAGTCTAGGGAGAGAAAATCGATACTAACCTCTTTGCTTGGAGAAAATTCAAGAAGAAGATTACATAGCATGGAAGATGCTACTACTAGGATTTCATCTGGTGCATTTTGTAAAACCTATGGAATTTAAAAAAGGAATGCTATTAATGGTTTGGAACAATGGAGATGAGATCTAAGAACAAATGAGAACCAAAAATAATTTATCTTTCAACTTGACTTTTCATATTGGATAGTTAGGAAAGATCCACTTGTGATCGTGTCAAACTTTACCTGGTGCTCTAATTATGACTAAGGCCCTCACACCTATCTTGCTGGAGAAGCTACAGCCCCACTGCCAGGATGGGAGGTGCTGCACAGAAAGAGATAAACACATAAGTCAGGGAGGGGGTGCTCTATATGAAAAGTTTGAACACCATGGGGCTGCTTTAGGACAAGTTAGTTCAATTTACTCCACCATTATCAGGCCACTTATGAAACCACATATTGCCCCAGAGCCTGAAATGTTCTGATGTGTGCATCTCTAGAAGGACTTGTTTGACCAAAGCAGGGATGAATCAAGCTACTATACAGCTAGGGCAATGTGGGGACTGGTTTTGAGGACTGGAATCACAGCCCTGGTTCCAACCCTCCTCTTCACTTCCTAGCTGTGTGAACTTGAGCATATTTCTTAAACTCTCTTAGTCTTTGAATTGAAGAAAACAACACTTCCTTGACAGGAGTTTTTAAGATTAAATGTGATAAGGTGAATGTTAAGGGAAGCAACATAACATGGGAGTAAAGGATGCAGACTGCCTGAATGCAAATTTCAACTCAAACACTAAATAAGTGTATGAATTCCTTGGCTATAAAATGGGGATGATGGTATTGTTGTGAGAATTAACATATGAAAAGATTTTAGAACAGTAACTGGCACACAGTAATGGCTATAAAAATAAAGTTTTTACAAAGGTAATTTATTATTGTAATTGTTGTTATCATCAGGCACATAGTAGATACATAGCAAACTAACTGCCATGGACTCTCACTCAACTCAGAAGACAACAGAGCACAATGACAAATGTTAGTCACCATTAGCTATTATCAGAACCTATTTTTCTAGATTCTAAGGGTGAAGGCTTCATAAACACCACCACTTATATGCAATTTCCACTTCAACTAAATCCTCTGCATTTGGGATCAGATCAGGATCAGACCTCATGATCCCAAAAGGAATCTTAGAAGCTCTTGTTATGCAAACTGGAAATGGATCATCACAAAAAACTTCAGAGAGTTAAATATATTATCTGCTTTCTTGAGCTAAATCAAGTCTAAAGTTCCCAAGTTAAGAATAAGCAAGAATTACAAAATAGAAATAGTTGTCTTAAGATACTGCATTTTAACTCTCCTGTGAACTGTCAGCTGGTTGATGAAGATCAAATCTCATATACTATGCATCCTGATCTGTGTTTGCCACAACCTCCTCTGAGATCATATAGCCTTTCCCTTCCCTTGCCATGCCCTTTCTTTATCCCTCAGGTACACACCCTACTCATTTTTTAAGGCCATCCTCATTCCAGAAGCCTCCTTGAAGCCCTTCCAGTCAGAAGTCATTCTATCCTCCTCTGAATAACCACAGCCTTTGTTTGTGACCTTTCCTGGGACCCTTATTACTATCTACTATTCAAATTCTTTGTGCAGTCATGCCAATCTCCTTTTCTATTACCAAATTTAAGCTTCTTGAAGGACTAATCTATCTATGGTCTAATTTATCCTGGCCCCTATCAACTGAATGGCACTGCACAAAAGGGGTGCTCAATGAATGTTTGTGAATTAAGATAAATAATCATTTTCCAAAATTATACTACTTAGAATCATTGCTTGAAATAAGTGAGTGCCTACCAAGGCTTTAAAACGTTGCTTTGCTCAATACAAATCACTTTAAAAATACTACTTTTTGTTATATAGAGATTAATGTGCTTTTATCAAGTTTTATTTTCAAATGAGATAACAATGATAAACTACAACAGAATAGATCATATGAAAATTTTAAAAGCATTTACTCAATGTGGTATAAGATATAACACTGAAATTCAGCAGCTGACATCTAACACTGACCAAATAGAATTTCACCAAAATAAGGACAAAAAATAATGACAAATAAAATTTTTAATTAAAATTTAATGCCCACTCCTGTGTAGTTTGCTAACCAACAGTTGAAAACATGGCAAAGCCAAAGGGGAAAAAAATCAATAGACATGCAAACAGCCTTGAACTAAGAGAAACCTACAAGTATCTTAAATAAATCACTGATTGACTTCCAAGCTCAAGCTTTTAGTATTATACTTTGTGCAACAAAGTCGTGGTTTGACAGTAACTATACTCACATGTACCCACGTGTACAAAATCCTTCGAGATTGCTCACCAAACCTTTGTCCAGGTAGAACTAGCTAGAAACAATATGTTGCCCCATTTCTGATTCATATGATAGAGGGGTACTGAACTGAGCAATTAGAGAAAATGGCTCCAGAGGAAATATCTGGAAGTTATTTTGGCAAATAGGAGAGCATTTAAAAAAATCTTGAATGGACAGAACCCAGAAATCAAGATTACATTGCTATGCAAAAGGTATAATCTAAAACAAGAAAGAGTACCCATAGCAAAACAGCTTTCCTAAAGAGAGCACTGGTCCAGCTCTTTCCATCTGGTGATCATACACCACACCCCTTCTACTACAGTCATGAAGACATCCTTAGGCTTCCTTCACGGATCATACCTAATACTTCTGCTCATGCTATTCCTCTCTCTGGAAAATCTTGCTGCCTTCCTTTTTCCTTCAAAGCCCACTTCATATTTTTCCTGCCTGAAGCCTCCCCTGACTATTTTCTACCACAATGATGCCCCTACTGTAACCTGAAGCTTGAAGACGAGGGCAGGAGTTCTGTAGTAAAAAATTTTGGTAGCCTCATTGTGCCTAAGAGGTTTCCACAGTAGGTAATGAAAAACCAAAACCAAAACCAAAATCTTAAATAAAAAATTCTGTCGATTAAATGCAAGGTGTATGATCACTTAAAAAAAAAAAAAAAAGATGGACCAGATACCAAGTGGACCCACGGTTTTGTAATATATCAGGGGATAACATTAGCAGCAACCTAACACCTCACCTAAGTCTTGATTCAGATTTATTTGACCTAAGCCTTTTCATAAGACCAAAGAAGTTATTTTGGTGTAGAGAAACAGGAGATAACACTGTGGTAAAAAATATCCAGGGATTGCCAAAAGACTAAGAACAGGTTATACCTCTAAATGACTGATTCCTTTCCTTTTTGTAACTAAAAATTACAAAGACTCTGGATGAAGTCTAAAGTGTAATACCAAACATACAGGGAGATCAGATAAGTAAAGTTTTATTTAATAAAAGAAAACTAGGCATCTACTTCCCTGCCACACTTGAGAGGCTGACCTTAGAAACACATTCTGCAGATCTAAAGATGCTTAAAACATCAGATCTGAGGAGATAAATATTCAAAATCCTTCACACAAAAACCAGCCATACTCCTAGACCAGGGGTGCTGTCAGCTACCTTGGCTCACTATAAAGGCTCTGTGGGAATGGGTGCTACTTGCTGCTTTCTTCTTACCTTCATTAAAGGTTTCCATACAGCGTGATCCTGGAAACTGGTTCGAAGCTGCTGCACAGATCTAGATAAACTGTGCAAACATCTACAAAGAATAATCAAAATTAGCTTCAAAAGAAGCCAAAACTTTTACTTTTCAAACACACTGCTTGGCATTTCACTAATTACTACTATGCACTTCAAGTATATCTATAGACATTGTTAATTCAACTACTTCAGGACTTCATGGGCTTTTCAGCTAGCTTCTCTGTTAACTGATGTTACACACTGTATGAGTTCACCTGAGAATACTTTCGAGTAACATCTGAATTCTGCGCTTACTTGCTGAAGGTCCGGAAAGAAAACAGGTTAAACACACGGCAAAGGGTTTTTATTCAGACCATTTAAAGCTCATACCTGACGGCAGCTAACCGCACCTTGACACTAGACTCAGACAAGCCAGTCACAATTCGGTCCATCATATTTTCAGTCTCAATGATCTGGAGAAAAAGGTTAATGCTGCATAAATAACAACACGAAGAGGACAAATTTCACTGCTTGTAAATGCAAGTATGTTAATATCCATTAGAAGTTTAATGTTTTTAGCAAAAGTTTTTACCTCTGGAACAATCATTTTGTGGTGGGGGCAGACAGTTCATCAGAAAGGAAAGACTACCCTCTAAGGACTTGCCAGACTGAATGAAAGGCATGAAGGGGCAAATTATGTCTCTTTGTTTATTTTTATAAAAATACTTAAAACAATAACTACATGGCATAAATATTGCAGAGGTGTTACATAAATAGTATTGAGAAAAAGTAAAAGATGTAATGAATTATCATTGGGCAGGTTCCTGTCAGAGAGATTCTAGAAAAATCATGGTTCACATTCAGCCCCTTATGAAATGAAATCTGGGTTTCTGACAGAGCCACCCTGTGGCTACTTTCTTACCAAGCAAATGGAAACTAAGCTAAATATTTAGAAAAGTAACCCTTGCCATCTTTTTACTGTAACACTAAGTCCTGTTACATGTAATCACTACAGTCACAGTCTTTTTTTTTTTTAATTTAAAAACAAGATAGCCTACAATTTTCCTTCATTAAACAATGTATAGATACAAAATAAATACTGTGTGGAAGAAATTAAGCTTAACTTGTGTGGTCCTATGGAAAAACCGCCTATTAGGAAAAAAGCTAATACAATCACAACCAAAATGTTAACAACTAACATTTGTTAAGTACATCTATGTGCTGGACATTGTGCTAATAAGCATATTACATGATCTGATTTAACCCTTTTGCAGGCATTATTATAATTATTCTCAACAGCCTATTAGGAAACCGAAGGTTCTAGATGATACAGAGCTTGCCTGGGATCACAAAGCAGAGAGGAGCCCAGGCATCTGACTCCAGAGTCCTGATGCTTAGCCATGCTTGTAATACGGTCCTGGTTAGAGAAGTATTCCTGTGCTCACAAGGTAGTCCCCAACATGAGTGACACGTTAATGGAAACACCTAGCTGGGAGAACACGTGGGAAGATCACCTGGGGAGCTTAAAAAAAAAAAAATCAGAGGCCAATTAAGTCAGATTCTGTGGAGTGGGGCTCAGGCACCCATATATATATATATATATTTTTTTTTTAAAGCTCCTCAGGTAAAGTCCAGTGTGCAGCCAAGCCTGAGGTTCACTGACCTAGACTAAAATGAAAGAGTTAGAAGGCTGACTTCAGAACAGGAGAGGATGGGAAATCTCCACATGTTCAAGCCAAATGGGAAGCTAAAATACAGTGTTGAAATTAACAGTGATGGGGAGAAAAATATCAACTATTAACAACATGGAGCCACACTTTAGCTATAGGGTAGGAATGGTTAATTTTTATATAGTGATTTGCAGGTTTCAAAGTGACGGAAGAAAACTTACATATTGATCCACTCCTCTCCCCAGACCAAACTTAATCTTACCCTTACCTTTATGCACATGACCCTGTCCTGTCTATTTAGCCCCTCAGCTCCTGTCTGTTTACCTACTCTTGACCCTCACAGACCTTGCTCCCTGACCTGTATGCTTTGCTCACTTAGTAGACAGATTCCCCAATTCACTGTCCTCCCACCACACACTCCTGCTTCAGATCTCAAACCACTGATACTACAATGGAAGTCACCAAACCTGGCAGCCTGCTCTCAGCTTATGCTATCCCACCTTGGCGGGACCATCACTGCTGCTCCACCAGCCCTGCACTCATCTGCAGGAGATTCCCGTATCTCCTAGGATGGTTACTTCCTACTTCAAATTCCTCCCACCTCCTCATGCCCTAAGTCCCTCTGTGCCTACCTCATTTTTGCAGGAGCCTTGCTTTCTTCCTTGGACACAAGTTGTCTCAACTTTCTTCTTCTCACTAATATGTCTCCATATTTCTCTTCTTCACTCTTTGTTGAAGTTGGGTACTTCAAGCTCAAAGCCCTTCCACCTTGATACAGAAACTACTTTCCATTACCTCTTTCTTGCATCTTTATTCTGCCTATCCAGCTGGATCCTTCTTGGCCTGCCCCACTGCCCACTTCCACCTCAACTTAAAAGGCAGAGTGCCAAACTTTAACCTCTTTAAGCTATAGTCCTCTCACCCCTTCCCTTCCTTAAATGGACACATGTCCCAAGGCTCCGCTCATCTCTCACTCTACATATATGACAATGCTGGGACTTCAAAATCAGCTTGATATTCCCCAATCTAAAATTCTTTATTCCAAGAATAAAGTGGTGGTGGTGGGGGTGGGCACACAAGAACACTCTCCAAGAGCTGAGAAATGCTATTAGGCTGGCTCCAGATGCTTAGGAAACCTGGACATGAGCAAGAATTTAAAGAAGCTTCTGGATAACATTTATTGGTCATTTATTGGCCATCCAACCAAAGATGTAAATCTGCCAAGGGACAAGTGCAGCAATCATTAGGCATATAGATTTGCTCTATAATCCTGACCAACTCACTTGACCTCTGTGGGCTTTCAGTAAAATGAGGGAATAGAGCAATGATTATTCTACCTCCAATCATTTGCAACCAGCATGTAAATAAAAATCATGTTTGTCTGGGCAAAACTATCACGTTATCCAGAAGCGACATGGGAAGGTAGAGTAGATGAGATGAGACAGTACAGGTCTAGTTAAATAAGGGGTCAAAAATCAGGTAGCAGGCTAGGCTAAGGGCAAATAGGGCACAGCTCCTATTTACATGCCCACATTTACTTATTCAGTAAATATCTGAGTGCCCACTGAATGCTAGGCACGGTTTTAAAACTTGAAGATAAAATGGTGAGGCAGAAAGCCCTTGTTCCCACCAAACTTACAGTATAGGTTAAGCAAGTGCAATGAACTACTGAATGAGTGTTATGGCACTTGAATTGATGTTAGCAAAAGCACTTTAGGAATGACAGGGGCCATGGGGCTTAAGGCAGACAGAGTGAATTAAGTGTCTACAAAGGCTAAGTGGGAAAAACACCCATTCTCAGAATGGCTGGGAAATGGCCATTAATGACCATACCAGAGAATATTGAGGCTTAGGCCAGCAGACAGTAGAGAACTATATTAGCAGCCAATCATTATATAGAGCAGAGCTTCATGCTCTAAGTTTCCTGGGAGTGTGGTGGCTGGTATTTTGGAGCTGGAGAATAGCTATAAATTGGCTGGTAAACCTTTCCCCTGATTTGGGATATAAAACAGTAGGCCTCTTTTAAGGTATTTTCTCTTTCAGGCACAAGGTGACCCTTCTTAGGTTACAGTCAATCAAAATGTCTGCAAGTAGGAGGCCTGAGGGACTTTAGTAACCCTGTTAACATTCTGGAAAGCCCATTACTTGAATGACTGGTCCACCTTCTCCATCAAGATACCAGTCTGGGAGCAAGAGGGTGAAAATAATGCAAAGTCAGAATGTGAACTTAGGATTCCAACCCAAAAAGGTATTCTGAGAGGCTATGTGAATGAGCAACATGATCTAACTGTGGTTTTGTATTCTTGAGGGTATTGACACCATCTGTGCAGGGATAAAGGGAGCAATATAGTGAATACACTGACCAAAATAAACATAAAAATGTGATTACGAGGCAGAGAAAGGTTTGGAATCACATTCAGAGAAAAAATTTTTAGGTCAGCTGGGAAGGAGTTGGCAGTGGCTGTTGCCATAGCTCTCTGACCCACTGACGGTCTAACAGAGCACCAGGTAATTTTTTAGACGGGTTGGAAAGCCAAGCACAATAAAGCATGTTCTCCATGGTGCCTTTCAACAACCCCTGTACTGTGCTACAAAGCCTTGATAATGATAGAGAGCCAAGTCCTAGCCCCTGTAAAGGATCTTAGGTCTTTCCAGAATATAAGAGCAATGTCAAGTGAACCTTGACGTTGTTCTGCCACATGGTTCTGGTTGGAGGTTCCTCAGCCATCGTTCAGCAAATATGCCCTGCAGCACAGCTTGCTGAATTTGCTTTAAAAAAAAAAAAAAAAAAAAGGATGGAAGGAAGGAAGGAAGGAAGGAAGGTAGGTAGGTAGGTAGGTAGGTAGGAAGGGCGGGTGGGCCCTTTGTTACACAGACACTGTGCCTGGCCAGGAGTATAAGTGGTGGACTGAATCTTCAGAGTGGAGGCGTCACTTCTCTCTCTGCTCTTCTAGGGGCCTGGGTTGTAAATTTAACTACAGAATTAAATTACATAAAAATGCTGCATCATAAACTGACCAAGTTTTAGGTCAATGGATCAGGTGCTAATGCTCTCTCTGCTGGTATCTTTAGTTCTTGTGACTACATGCTTTTGCTAAGCTTTCTTTTCTGACTCTGTAGCTCTTGCAGGGGGAGAAGAGGGTCTGAGGCCCCTGCCATTGGGACAGAACCTTATGGCCTGTGAGAGAAAAAGGCAGTAAGCCTAGAGGGTCATGGGGAAAACGCAGAACCCAGATAATCCTAAGGTGCATGGCACACATGGGAATGTTAATAAGATGAAAATGGCCTTGGTTTCAAGGGAATTCCCTAGCCCTCCATGAGCTCTACTGGACTCATACCTTAGTTGTGGCCAAGTCATATACCACCTGTTCCTCAGAGCATATGAAGAACTGGAAGAGTCAGAGTTAAAAACAAGGCCCAACTATTCTTCCAGGATGAAGCACTTCCCAGGTACTAACAACTTCAGATTGGACCTTGAACTGTGATCAAAACAGGTCAAGCAGAGGATATAAAAACCAGGCAGATTCTTGGTGGTGTCAAGAAACTTCTCAGACAATTCAGAGTGGGTGGGCTTGGAGTCAAGGCAGTTGGATGGTAAAGCGGGCATTTTCTTAATGTCAACCATTTATACTAATGTGCACAATGGCCAGGCAAATACAATTTAATTCCAGGTAGGCTTTTGTGAAAGGTTCCCAGAAAGTCTTCACAGAGGATGACAAGAATGAACAGGCTAGAGAGAATAAAGACTTGGAATCAAACTTTGCTAAGTTAGAAGAGGTAGATCTAAGATCTAAGCGGATAAG